GAATTGTTTCAGAAGAGTTAGATACTGAATGAATATTTTCTAGTTATTTCATGTCATAATCATCCTTAGAGTCACACAAAAACATGATTACATCGTGGTTTTACCTTGTATACTCACTGATGAGTATCTTTCAAGTAGTTTCATATACCTTTAGTAACATGTTGTGAAAAGTGAAGTTCAACAATCACATAACTGAGACAGCTATCTTTGTCAGCAGTATCTGATCGTTAAATTTCGTTAATGGTACTTTAACTAAGTACGATACCTAATGTTTCTAGAAGTTTTATCTTATACTGGATTGTGAGTTGATACTTTTAAGGGTTTCAAACCAAGAAATTTAACAAGAAAATAATATAAGGCTATATTTAGTTGAGACCACACAACAGATAAAAAAAATACAAACTTCATACTTTGACCTTATTATCCATTATCCTTGTATATAGAGTCAACTAAAAGAAAACTTGGTTATCTTCACATAAATCAGATCTCGTTAATTATATTTTATGTTCTCTGTTTGCTTTTTCTTTTTTTTTTTAATATCTGCATATCTTGGTTTATTTTAAGGTCACTGAAATGTTCTATTGATTCGATAATTAAATGCTTTGGCGCTTATTTTCACGGTTTATCTAAGAGTTCAACGTTCTCTTATTCATTTATCTCTATTCAGTTTGTCCTAATTCAAATCTTTAACTTCTCATTTTTAACGTTTTTTCCTTCACTGTTTAAATGAATAATTTCTCCTATATATCATTCATTGAAATACAAATACTCAATTTGAATGTGTTTCATTCTAATAAGAGTTGATATTGAACTATTTTGTCTTGAACTATTTCATTATTTAAACGAATATTCGTCAAGATTAGAACGAATAGTTTGACAGAAATTGGGCGCCGAGTATAGAGAAGTCATTAATATGTGAAAATTATATTTGAAATAATCTCAGCGATTGAAATTTAAATAATTCCAGCGTTTCGTCCAGCTAACTTGTCTGGACTTCTTCAGGCTTGAATAATCAAAATCAAAATCATCAAAGAAAATCATTTAAATTTCAATCGCTGAGATTATTTCAAATATAATTTTCACATAATGGTTGGAGACTCTTGGTGACATGGCTCAGAATCGATCACAATGGCGTCGGTGTATACACTCCCTGTCTTCCCTTAAACTAAGAGATTAAAATCACTCCATATCTTTCTTTCCACGAACTAATTCTTTCTTCCTATACTATATCCTTATTGCAATCTTTCTCCTATATATTACCACCTTTGACCTAACCACTCCTATGAATCCGGTGTTCATCTTGCTGTGCTAATGAGGTATGGCAACCTGGACCGATGCACATATGTGCTTGGTCCTACGTTGTAGCTGACTGACTGACTGACTGTTGTTTAATATTCTTTGATTATAGAGTTAAATTTAGTATTCATATATGAAAGTTTAAATATATTGATTCGTTAAATAGGAAATGTTACAAAAATATATGTGTAACTAAGCAACAAGATGGCTACCTGTTGGTAATATGTGTTATATTATGTTCTATTAATAAAGTGACAATCTAGTTAGTTATCATCGTTAAAATAACCAACCCGTAATATACAATGTACTAAACTTATATTGATTGTTTTAAGAAGACTACAATGAATAATTATAATTTTATAGTTGAATTCATGAGTCAACTGAAGCTAGACCACCATGGAAAACTTGGAAGAACTGGACAGCCGTGTCGTTTTAGTATGGGACTCCTCACCAGTGCGCATCTACGACCCCGCCCCACGAGATTCGAACCTAGCACCTTTCGGTCTCGAGCGCGAACGTCTAACCTCTAGACCACTGAGTCGGCACCCAATGGTATTAATGTCTAACTTCAACCAATTATAATGTTTACTTATTAATTTATAATATAGAATTGTTCACTAGATAAGGTTCTACAGTACACTAATAAATGTGTTGAAATGCTTCTTTGTTATGATAAAACGTTGGTAAAGCTACATAAATGATAGTGTGTATTACTATGTGATTATGCATTCACAATCAAACAGCAATGAAACGGAGTTACTAATCAAGGTTAGATATATCTTGTTAGCTATTACAACTACTACGTGTTGATATGTTATGTGTTAACTTAAGCTAATGTATGTTGGTAGCCATGCTCATACACTGTTTCTGCCTTGTGATTACCATACCGTTTAAATTAAATTTTAACACCATTCTTATGTTTCTAAACATTTACTACTGGTGAACACTTGCAACCGCATATTTAAAGCCCAGAACTAGAGGATGAAGTTCAAGCTTGGAATGGGAAAGTATATTCCGTAAACCAGAAGCACGAGTAAATAATAACAGACACAAATCAGACGTATATATACAGCATAAAACTGTCCTTGAGAAGCGTAGCAAAAATAGCATACTAAGAATACACAACGGACCAATAGCGTTTAAGACTCTTCCAAGTGGGAAATACGATATGAAAGTGAAAAGTGCGCTTTTGGCGCGAAGACAAGGAAATTTAAATCTCCAAAATAAAATTATAAAATTTAGGCATTTACCAAGTGAGTTCTTGAGATCTAACATCCCCACTACCTCCCTCTTTTAATAACGTACGTTTCCGGGGTCCACATGCATTTTGACCGTTTGGCTCCGTTGTCCGAGTGACTACCTTCTGGTTCGTAGGTTGACCTGTCGATGTGCTTCTTTCTGTGTCGGGAATGCGGGTAGGTAATAGGTATCTAATAGGATGCCAAGAGGGAGATTCCCTTCTGTCGATGGGCGAACTGGGGTAACCGCTTGCGTAGCTGGTTCTGATGTCGAGCCAACCTGTCTCTTCCTACCTCTACTTCGTACATTACATGGCCTAATTTTCCGACCACATGTGCTTCAGTCCAGGGACCATGATTTGCTCTGTAGTCCCAAGCGAACACCGGACATCCAAACTCGTATGTTGGCAGCTTCTGGAACTTGGTCAGTGATGGCGATGGTGTGGTTTTCGGAAGCATCAGATTGTGGACCATCATCAATTTTCTTCCCATGAGGATTTGTGCTGGGGACGTCTGCTCGGGTAATACATCACCAGGTGTCGTTCTGTAAACGAATAAGAGGTTTTGCAGTCTTTCCACTGGCGTCCCCTCCCCTCTCAACTTGATTAGAGCTTCCTTAAATGTATCCATAAATCTTTCTGCTTCGCAGCTTGATTGCGGGTGGTAGGGTGGAGAGCGGAGATGCTTGATGGATAGCAGTTGGCGGACATCTTGCAACTGCGTTGAGGTGAACTGAGAACTGTTATCTGATACAATTACATCCGGTAACCCGTTGCGAACGAACATCTCCGACGAGAGTTGTGTCGTTTTGGTTGTCGTTGGTGGCATAATGGTGACAATTTCTGGCCATTTTGAAAAGGCGTCAACCCGACTAGATAGGTAGTCCCATTGATTGGACCAGCAAAATCTACATGTATCCTGGGCCAGGGATACTCAGGCTGTCATCTTCGCATTACATCTCGCCGATTGCTGACAGTGCGTGCATTTGTCTATTAAATCCATGATGTGTTGGTCCATTAGGGGCCAATAAGCATGGCTTCTGGCGATGGATTTCATCCGTTGTATGCCAGGATGACCAGTGTGGAACTGCTTTAGCACCCTTGATCTTAGGGATTCTGGAACCATTACTCTATCTCCAAACATCAACCATTCATTCACGACGCATAATGAGTCCCGACGGTGGTTAAGCTGCTTCAAGTCACCATCGAGTCCAGGTAACATTGCGCGTGGTCCTTTGTCATTAGGGAGGCAATAACTGTATCTTCCGCGGCCGTATGGTGTTCGCTGATAATTTGTGACAGGGCGTCTGCCTGATCAAATTGTTGGCTGTGCCGGTACTGAATGTCAAAATCATAGCCCAACAGTATCAAAGCCCATCGCTGGAGACGGTTTGCAGAGTGGGCTGGAACGTCAGGTTTCAATCCGAAAATTGAGAAAAGAGTGTTGTGATCAGTAAGAAGAGTAAACCTTCGACCGTACAATAATTTGTGAAAACGGCGTACTGCGAACATAAGGGCGAGAGCCTCTTTCTCTGTTTGATTGTACTTTCTTTCCGCTGGATTTGATTTGCGAGATGCATGCATGATAGCTTTCTCTGTTGCGTCCGGAAACTGGTGTGAGATGACAACACCGAGTCCAAAGGCTGAAGCATCTGCAGCCACAATGATTGGCATGGATGGGTCGTAGTGAGTCAATAATAGTTGAGAGGTAATGATGGTTTTCAGCTTGCGAAATGCAGCTTCACACTCCTTTTTCCGGTTCCAAATAGTATTCTTATTCATAAGATAATTTAGTAGGGCGCGTATGTCATGCATCGACGGAACAAAAGCTGGGTAGTAGCTAATTAATCCCAAGTACGATCGTAGCTCAGAGATATTAGTGGAAGTCGGCATCAATTTTATAGGCACTTGAACATGAAGTATTTCAAAGGAACTACCTGACAACTTTTCGCAAGTTAATACATGTTTAAATCTTTGTACTGCTAAGTTATTTAAATACATACATAACACTCGGAACAAAATATCATAACCGTGAATAGAACTACCATGGGGTATATATGTATATATATGTCTTCCTTTCTTTAACACATTTTACTCAATGTAATGCATCTACCAAGTACAAGTACAGTGTGCTTGGCCGAATATTTCTCTATACTAAAAAATCAGTTAACATTTTAATTGTGTATCAAGATCATGTCTTACTTTTGTGTAATCAAAGAGAGATATTCTTAATTACTACAAATATAGAATTTCATTGTTATCAATCTAAATATTTGCTTAATTATCTCATATAATTCTCATCAACGTTTAAATATCATTTAAAAAGAGACTCATTAATATCTAACAAGTGTTTGATTTGTTGTTTCATCATCAACTACCTTATATGAGTTCCGTTAAATACCCTCAAATGGTAGTTGTATTCAATTCAAACAATCTATTTTAATTTATATTTCAATGTTCTGTTTAGTGTTCAACAGATTTTTAATCACATCAATATGACAAAGGATGAAATCTGTCAAACTGATTCAAAACCTAATCATAATATTGATAAAAAACAATTATGGGATGCATTTAATACAAGTTATCAAAATCAAGAAAAAATATTACGACCTTCACATAATGATATAAATGCATATCATTTAGATGATGATGTTGATGAAGATGATGATGATGATGAAGAAATGATAGAAACTCATTATGATAATGTTCATAGTTGCCGTAAAATGAACAATTTCTCCATTGATAAAATGGATACAAAACGAATTTCAAAAATCTATAGACAACTTCATAATTTACGTTGTCAAGTTGAAGTACGTAGATGTTTTATTTATTGTTGTTTTTTATACTTGATTTTACAAGTAAATTTTAATTTTCTAATGATTTATACTTTAAGTAGTTTCTAATTATTACTATAGAAGGTTTAAATGTGGGATCATAGGATGCCATAGAGAGTTCCATATGTGAACAAAACAAAGTTTTAATGCTTCCAGATATTCAATGGTTATCTAAGGTCAGTCCATAATACAATTTATGAAATTTTAAATCATGTTCTACAGTTATAAAAAGAAATATTGGTATATTTGAAAACTTCAGTAGAATATTGAGCTTCATGTTTGATTTTCAATAGATTTGTTTCCTTACTTGCATAATAAATAAAAACGGAGGTCCAGTTATATGTTGATTGTTTTAGTGATAGAAACTGAAGAAAAAATGGAATTCACAGACAAGTTAATTCAGTTATATGTTAATGTTATATCTAGAAGGTTGTTCTTGATATACCGCATATAACGTGAGCACTAGAACTCCAGAACCCTTCCAAGTCGCGATGAGAAGACAGAATACTAATGAAAGGAATATTATTCCTAGACAGTGTCAACTATATTACAAAACTGTCAGGTATTTATAGTTTTTAGTAAGAACAAAAACATCATTACAGTCCACCAATCCTCATACAGGGGGTTATTAGCATTGTCCAATCGGGGAACTACACGTAGGAATTCTAGAATATTCTTCCAAGAGGTGATTGGATGGAATATCGTCGGCTCCTTCTGAGCCTCCTACAGCTTCCTCAAATTCACCCGAGGTCCGTTGTCACAGTTAATTATTAACGGTTCTGACAAATTGTTTCTGAAGTTGTTTACTAATATATTCGTTTTGTAAATTGTAAAGTATTTGATTCATTTTTGTATTGATTGTTTGAGTCTTTTCATTAATGTTTAGGACTGCAACTGATCAGTCTCATATAGGTATATGTGCATCCTATGTGGATTGCTTTGATATTAGCTGAAGTCACGAGTGAGTCCAAGAGTGAACATTAACCCTGGGATTCAGGTTTATCCAGCTGACGAGTCCCTAATGAAACGAAACATGCGTCCTAGATTCCCTTGCTAACCACCATTCATCTCTGTGTATAATAAAGTATTTGTTTTATTATTCTCAGAAACTCATTTTTAGGAGTGATTATGCTGATCCAATGTTCCAGCTATTACGCTATCATGTGATATTGGTTAGGCTACATAATATACTTACGTTTTTCATTTTAGATAATGTTTTATTTACTTCGAATGATTTCGTTTTTCTGTCTAATAATGTGGCTATTATTTATAAACGTTTGTCTTCTCAGTCGTTCTCCTATCTAAGTTGGCTTGGATTAACCGCAGAACAACCCCCAACCCAGAAAATTCTAGTTCCTGGCTTTAATGCACCAGCTCCAAATCCTCAAATGCACTTGATTCGTCGATCTGATGCAGATAGTCGGAGAAATATACAAGAATTTAAACTTCTATGGTAAATCAATATTTATCGTTTATCATATATATCATATTTAAAAAAGAAAGTTGCATGTTACCATTATTTTCATTCAATTTAACAGCAGAAAAGGTAGTTTTTTGACATAGTTCATGACCTAATATATGGTACTCAGTAGAAAACAATTCTTAGAGTATCGTGTCCTCTAGTGTCAGTTGATAAATCGAGATTATCATGTAAATAATTTCACCCAGTTGAATTATTACTATCATTGGCTAGACACCTAAAAATTTCTACTTATCTCAATTTAAATTTAGAATTAATTTAATCAAAATATATGATTACTTCATGAAGTCATTGATTGTACTAGTTTGACCCCCATGCTGATATGCGTAAACTATCTGGTTACAATCCGTTCAATAACCATGATAAGTGGTTGAAGACTTTAGGTGACATAGATAAAGATCGTTCGAAATGGAGTAGATACCTTCAAACTTAATGATAAATTATCTTGAATCTTATTGTTCTTTTATACGTAGCTTTTTCTTTTATCTTTTTCAACCTCATTCACATTGTTCAATCTCCCTTGGTTGAAACTACACTACTTTGATTTTTTTACAATCCATCTTATTAATTTCATGGTTTATTTATTTATTTATTTGAACACATAAATATTGGTACAAAGGGGCATCGAATACATATGCGACAAACAAGTCAGTTGATTTGTATGTGGGCTGTGATACTGCAAGTGTGTCCAAAGCGAAGCATTTGGTTTTCCTAGGGGGCCACTCCCCGAGCCTATGACCTAAAGATCTGATCCACAAGGCAGTGGAACAACGTCAGGAGATGTAGTTACATGGTAGCCGGTGACCATCAATTGCTTCATACACCATTTGTTCATTCGGGATACTGGAATCCATGTGCACCGTTGGTTTGGAATTAGGGTTTTCCAACTCTCCTAAATGGACCCTTCGTGTCCACCGACCCGGTTAAAGCGCCGGACATTCGCTTTTCGTCCTCTCAATTTCGTAAACAACACCCCTGACACGAGAAGGCAGTGAGTAGGGCTTCTCTGGCAGTGGCTGTTTACGCGTGGCCGTGTGAGAGCACTTCGCAAGGGAGAGTGGACACTCCCAACCCTCGTCTGTACCAGGGCACTTGAGGGTACGGTGATATAATATGAAAACTTAGGCTAATGCGCATATGAACCTAGCTCCATATCCGTTTAAATCTAAAATTCTTAATAATTATTTCCTATTAAAACACAATAATCAGTTGTTGAATATATATAATTAACATGTAAGTTGTATTTTTATAAAATGACAAATAGTCAAATTGTTTGTCATCAGTAATTACAATCTAACTAATGAATGTCATAAAACTGTAAATACATAATACAATTTGTTAACACCTCCATTTAATGTTTAGCAGTTAACAGTTCTTAGTATATTATTTGCAATATTTTGAACCAGTCCCGTATTATGTTTATTTCAAGTTGTGGACATTCAAGGGAATCTATATCTAGAGAGAATACTTTCTTTCTAACATTTATTTACTGTCATCCATCATCTGTGAAGTTTTACAACTAAGATTTTGATCACAACATCGTTTTACATTATAGCATATATCTGCTGCATCTCTCCCATATTAATAGTCGTTTTTTCCAAAGAAGGCGATAAATGAAGCAAACCAAACATTGTAGTGGTTAAGCTTCATCTTTTTAGTAATTAACTTCACAATCTAAGCTGTAGACAGCTTATAAAGACTTATAAATGCTATTGTTATAAGGATAGGGTTAAGGAGATTATTAAATTATTGATTGAGATTATGAACCGACTGATGTTAAATCACTACTGTTAACCTGCATGCACTGGACGTCTGTTTCGTCCTATTGTGGTACTCCTCAGCAGTGCGCATTCACGATCTCGCTCGCGGGATACGAAGCCAGGGATTAATAGTGGGTTAAGACATATTTCTATTCTCCTAGTCAAAAGATATAAAACTTAAATGTTTAAGTTAGCTACAACACACTAATTACTACTATTTCATAAATATGTCGTTTTATCAATCGTTAATATTATCGATGTAACCAGTCGGTTATTTGTATTCTAATATGCCTGTAACAATCTATATTTAACAATCCTATTCTCTAAAGAATACATTGAAAGCTATGCCGTGAAACACCAGAAATTCCAATTTTTGTTGTTGTTTTTTTTGCTCATTGGGAAATTATAAAAAATCATCATTATCCATATACTCTGTTTTGTTTAAATGTATTAACATCACATGTAGAATAAAAAAGGAAAAACAAACAAACTAACTAACTCTACTTTATTATTTATGCTTAGTTGATTTTTCCACTATTTATAACTTTACTTACTTCTTTTATTGTATAAATGATATTTACGTTATATTTAGTCATATGAACAAATTACTTTAAGGAAAGAAGAGTTAAATTGAATCAAAGTTTTTGAAACAAACACTATCCATCTTTGTTAATGTTAATTCTTCGTTTATGATTACCGTTAATCCTTATAATTTTAGTCTGTATTATAACTGATGAGAAGTCATGAAATAGAGGGAATTCAGTTTACTACTCATACTTTGGCGTTTTTACTCTATTTAAATTAAGATCACTTTTTCTTGTGATTGTATTGTAATGAAATATAGCTGATTCAAGATATTGTTTGTATTAAACTATTATTTACTAAAATTTAGTCGAACGCGTTGACAAATTCACTTATCTTGGAAGTCTGATTAGCCCTAATGGGTTGGTGTCTGACGAAATCTCAGCACGGATTCAGAAAGCTCGCTTGACTTTCGCCAACTTACGTCACTTATGTAGAAGGCGAGATATCCGTCTATCAAAAAAAGGACGAGTATACTGCGCGGCAGTCCGTTCTGTTCTACTTTACGGCAGCGAAACGTGGCCATTAAGAGTAGAAGACACTCGTAAGCTACTAGTATTTGACCACAGATGCCTCAGAAATATTGCTGGCGTCTGCTGGTAAAACCGGGTAAGTAACAGTGAGGTTAGATGCAGGGTATTAGGGAATGATGGTAAATCAGTTGATGAGGTTGTGAATCTTCATCGACTGAAGTGGTTGGGCCACTTGTTGCGTATGCTTGAACACCGGTTACCACGACGTGCAATGCTAACCGGTGTTGGAGATGGTTGGAAGAAAGTTAGGGGCGGCCAAACCAAAACGTAGCATCAGTGCTTGAAGTCACTAACTTCTAGTCTGAGCCATGTTGGTAGATGCAGACTACTTGGTTGGGGTCCGCGTGACTATCGTAACCAATGGTTGGAGACTCTTGGTGACATGGCTCAGTATCGATCACAATAGCGCCGGTGTATACACCCTCTATCTTCCCTTAAACTAAGAGATTAAAATAGCTTCATATCTTTCTTTCTACGAACTACTTCTTTCTTCCTGTACTATATCCTTATTGCAATCTTTCTTTTATATATTACCACCTCTGAATTAACTGCTTTCATGAATTCGGTCTCCATCTTGTTGTGTTAATGAGGTATGTTAACTTGGGCCGGTGCCTGGTCCTATGTTGTAGCTGACTGACTGACTGAAGTTCGAGTTATTGTACAATCAAGTTATTGCTCATTGTTCAGGTAAATACTTTGAAGACCATTAGTATACTGAGCATTAGTCGTGAAGTAAACATGAAACATGATTAGGAGTTTGTTGGTAATTAAATCGTTACTTATTCAAGCCATGTCATGTTACAAGCTTTCTTTCACAATATCCATTTCTATCGTACGTATAATTCAGTCTCTTGACCATGACTATCAAAAGTGTATCAAAATAATGAATAAATCTATGTAAAGTTTACTTTGAGAAAATTATTCGATTTATGTTTGTTTTGTTTAATCTCGTTAGTGTTTTTTAGCAAGGTTTTTTTCTACGGGATGGGTTTGCCTACCTTATACCCAGCCGTCATCCTTTACCCGGGTTTGTGACCGACACTAGCCCTAGAAAAGCTACAGGCAGAGTTACTTCGGATTAGGGGATTAGCAATTTTTGAAATTCCGTCTGCTGAACCAAAACGTGACAGTTATCCAGCCCTCTATATTTATCAATGATTGAGTGATAACGTGTCTTCCCTTAAAACTGATCTCCATAATATTCTCTTGAAAAAATGACGATTGATAATAATAGTATACTCACTACTGATCAGTCTACAAATAAATGTATTAATATGAATTCACCTAATTTGTGAGTAAGAAAACCATGTGTCGATGTACCTTGATAATAATCCTATCTTACCATGAATTAAGTGAAAATGCAAAATGATAACCATATGAGTCGTTCTGGTCTTTAAACCTATATCTCATAATTCCGATATAATGAATAACCTTAAGCTAAGTCTAAACATCTATCTAATAGTTCTTCAATCTTTATTAATCCAATGTACAAACTAATTTGAAATTAGGTAACACTTATTAGGATATATGTGCGCACATTTCTATGACCGAAACCTATTCTTTTATCTTTTTACACAAATATTTATGAATTATTTCCTTGTTAATACATTTTTATATTATATATAGTAAAGAACCTGTTTCTAAAGAAGATTTAATTGAATTACGCTCATCTACTTTTAATAATTGGTCTAGAACAGATGCTCAATTAATACGTTTAGTTCGGGAAATGTTTCAAGAACTTGGATTTATTAAACATTACAATATACAATTACATCGATTAGATTTATGGCTTACTGATATTTATAGACGTTATAATCGTGTTCCATTTCATAATTATAAACATGCATTTATGGTAACACAAATGGTAAGTTAAATTAAAACTTTTATCATTCTCTAATCAATAAATTTTGTGTTCATAATTACTTCTTTTCTAAAGTAATTAGTCCCTTTGATAAATTTTGATCATGTAATAAGAAGATGAAGATTATCAGAACTATGTGATGAGATATTAGCTCAATACATTTCGAACAATCTGATCACACGCATAATGTACTTTTAGGTTTTCGATGAGACATGCACCTTGTTCTTTCTCTGATAATGACCTTTGCTGCACAATACGTTTTGTTGATGACTGATTTAAGCCTTCGTTTTGCCTATTTGAATCAACTCTGAATCGTAAGGTGATGTAGACAGGCTTTTTTTCTACCAAGTATACATAGGTCTCATTGTACCACGTACTTTCCATCTATTTATGGATTGCAGAGGATAGCCATTTTTCATTAATGTTTTAACATCATCATCAATGGCATCATTTGTACAAATACGATCAAGCCTGTTGAATAGGCACCTTATCAAACCACGTTTGAATTACACAGGGCAATAACTATAATAACTAAGGTACTGACCTGTCCACGTTGGTTTTCTAAAGATGGATGGTTTGACTGAGCCATCTTCTCGTCTACTCAGAAATATATCTAGGAAGGGAAGGTGATCGTTCTTCTTCTCTTCACATGAGAGACTGATATGATTTTGGAGTGTACTTTTACTTTGTTTTTGTTTTTTCCAAATTTGTTTTCATTCTTTGTGAAATTAGTCAATAAGTTTAACACTCAATCTAGCTGTTATTGTCTTTGAATTAAATTCATTTTTCAAAATGACTATTCTCGTGTTTCGATATGGTTGGGACTAGTTTTCTTTCAGTCTTACTCCATGCTAGCAACCATACGATGTCCGAGTATTCTGTGACTAGATATACATAATTTATATTTCTGGCACCTTAGTCAATAAGTATTCAAATCTTAATCATAATATACTTAATACATTGCTTCCAAATTCGGTACTGCACACTTGATAATTTAACTATACTTAATTGATTATTCACAATCGCGTATTATCAAATACATGAGACTTGGACATGTCTTTTACCTTTAAAGTTAATCCTTCACAATTATTAATTAATACTGAATGGATTACTTCATAGTCTACTTGTGATTCCATAGACAAATGAATATCTTGCTTGCTCATCAATTAACCAAGTTATTAAAAATTAAACAGTGTCCTTCTATCCATGCTAACATTTCGTTAACTATCAACTCTTTCAATAAGCTCGATAAAACAACCATAAGTAGATTTTTCAACAAGTATAACTATTTTAATGTCTGCAGTCAGATCATGCATTGATTCAGAACAGTTTTGAGCTAAAATTTCATACTTTGATCAACCATCTACTCTATCTCTACATTTATATAAGATGTTTCTTAAATTAGACTTCATTCAATTTTCATCCAATCATTTTATTTGTTTTATGTAGTAGTTTATTCTTAATGTTTAGTTCACCATTACTAATGATATTTTATTGTTTCACCTCCTATGCTTTTCATCTGAATAATTTCCCCCTCTTGTTGTGGGTCAATTCATGATTGTACCACAACTTACACTGTTAATAGTTGACTGACTAATATGACTTACTTAAACCCTTGCAAAGCGTTGATCCTGAATATTATATTCATATTTGCCTAAAGGAATCTCAAATTCTCTTTCGTATCACTCGAAACGCTGCGTATAATCTCAGTCTGGTTTCGCTAAAGCGATACATTATTTTTGTTCTAAAAATAGCTTATGACTTGAACATTATAGCAAGTTGAAGGAATTCTTTATATATATATTTGTAACGTAAATGACTATCTAAATGCTGTTTAATTTCTTTGTTTTAGTGCTATGTTTTAATCTGGGGTGGAAATTTGACCAATCTACTTGACATAGATGATCAGCTTATTTTGATTATATCGGCCATCTGTCATGATTTAGATCATCCAGGATTCAATAATGCTTATCAGGTAGGTCCTAGAATAAGATAGAAGTATATATATATATATATATATATATATATATATATATATATATATATATAGTGAGAGAGAGCAGCAGTTACTGAAAACTGATTAAGAGAAAGACAGAAAAAGTATACTGTTCAAAACTAAAAATAGGTATAAAAAACATAATGTATAATAAAGAAAACTTTTGATAATTTGTGTTTCTCTTCCTCTCCTCCTCCTCTCTGTCTTGATTTAAGCTATTCCTTTTTAACCTTATTTTATCTAAAAATACAACTATCAGATAATAATTATTTTATGCATTACTAAGTACCATGATATTCATCGAGTCCACTATTCACTTATCTCTAAGTTAATCTCACTTAAAAATCACTGAAAATCAACAAATTGAGTTGTAATTTGATATAACTATTCTTAGTTCAATGAATATCTGGGTTCATTGTACCTGCAATCAAAATATTTCAACAAGTTATCTGTTTTTGTTTGTCTATTAATTGCACAACCCATTCAGATGAGTTTATAAAAACGTTCACGACCTTTCACTGTACAAATGACAAAAAAGTACTATGAGAAACATCATGATAGCTGGCAATATGCATTGAAAAGAATATACATTAATTAAATATCTATTCTTGTACAGCTAATATTTAACTGGCGATCATTCAATATGTTGTCGTCAGAATCAATAAAGAAATAATAAAAAGAAACTTGTTGAAATACTTTGTGCTGAGAATTCTATATTGTACCAAAACTATAATATTGAATAAAGCAATTAGTAACAATCATCATAATCATAATTTTAGTATGTCATTTTGATTAATGACCACAGTTTGAATGTGAAATTCTCAAAAATGTGAAAATGTGGGAACAATCTAGGGTTTTTTTTCTCGAAAAAAATCACTAACGCATCTAATAATTGCCCATCTGATTCTCGTTTAGATTCAGCTGTTTTTTCCCATGCATAAACACACAAACACACATGTTTTCGCATTGTTTTCACATCCGGAAATATTCTGGGGTTTATTAAAATCAAAAGCTGATTTAAGTTAGAAAACCATTGGAAATCTGGAAGAACTGGACAGTTTTTTTGTTTTAGCATAGGCCTTCCTAGAATTGCTCATTCATGACACCATTAGAGAGGAATAATGCCAAAACCTTTGGTCTCATACACGATTTTTTTTTACTTCTGTACTGTTGAACCATAGTGTAATTCTGTACATGTCCTTTATAACGAAACGTATATTATAGAAAATTGGAACTGGTTTTTCGAACTATTATTAACGGTTTTTGTGTTGTATAATTTCTGAGTAACTTGTAATGTCTAGTACCATGCCAAAACGGTATGGGTTATTCTAGCTTCCAGACAGATCAATTTATTCATTCTTCATGAGTCACATTTTGATCTTGCTAATTATCTGCTTATTAAACTTCACTGTCTTTATATGAGTGTGTGTGTTAATCCTTTACCCTATTCACCACATATCTGTAACCAATTTTTGTCTAACTATAAATATCCAGTCACGTTTGATTAAATCATGTTGGCCCACTTACCTTCTCCAGTCTGCGTAATTTTGTTTCGCTTCGCTCTCTCCTCTTCGTTTCCTCCGCTTCGTTTCTCTGACCATTTGTCTGGATCAACGACTGTATGAAATGTATGTATACGAAATCCATTCTCGTATTTGACTTATTTAATTCCGTTATTCACTAACACGAGCGAAGTTGATCATCATATACGAGAGTAGCTCGGATGTAAATTTTGATAACGATCATAATACGATTTAATTGGAGTTAGATAAACGGCCACAATGAAAACGAGATTACTTTGTGTATTTACTCCATTCATTGTAAGATTACGGTTAACTCACTAACTACGGTAACATTATTTGCTACTTTTACTTTGTTGTCAGTTTATTATTTATAGTTTCCTTTATTCATAGCCACTTTGGAATTGTTTATGTATAAGTGTTATTTTTTACTTAATGGTGTGTCGGTATCTGGCATATCTTAATATAAACCACGTGTTTGAAATATAAGTATGTTAAAGGGTAGTTGCTGACTATTGTACTCAACGCCAGGCATAGAGAGGAGCTAGCGGATAGTGGACCAGTCAGAACCTAGCTGTTGGCTGAAGGTCAGTAGTACCGGCCGAGCATGCAGTTGGCCAAGTCAGATACACCAAGCCATGGAGTTTAATTAGAATCAGAATTCTAATAGAATACAAGGAACGTGATATTGGTCTGAGGGTTCGAGACATAACGATATCTAAATTCAGTGAAGAAAGTACATAAGAAGAACATCAGACGATAGTTGAGCAGCATCTTGTACTGATTAGAGTTAGTCCTGCATATTACTGTATGCCGTCTCAATGATCTATGGGTTGAGGGTTTGTCTCGAGACCGAAAGTCCTGGCTTTGAACCTCTGTGGTGGGTAATGGGAGTGAAATGCCAAGAAGTTCTACATTGAAAAAACAGTCATTCTGTTCCTTCAGGTTTTCAACAGATGTCTGATTTAGATTGGTTCATGATGTCAATGAGTAAAATTTATTTCATTAAGATCATGAACTGATCAGTGCTAGATCGCCATTGAAAACCTGAAAGTACTGGTTGGCCGTCTCATTATAGTACCGGAATCCTCTGCAGTGGGCATCCACGATATCGCACGTGGGACTCAAGCCCTTAACTTCTAGTCTGACTTCAACTTATTCATGATATTGCGTGATCATCTTTCATAGTCTGCGGTAGGTAACTGTCACACGCATGGTTGAACTCCGGTGGTCATCGCTTCTCACTAGAACTCCGAAAATTACCACTCGCAACTAATCACTATTTCACATATGATAGTCCTATACTAGGATGAAATAGTCTTCCGATGTCTTCAGGTTTTCAATGGTGGTCTAACACTGATTGGTTCATTGTCTCTATGAGACTCAACAATCTCCACAACTCTATACTTATAAAATTTATTTCTTAGAATAAGAAATACGAAACTATTCTGACGGCATTTTCGGAGATTTAATTGATGTTGTATAATTTAATTATTACATATCTAAACATTAATACAAACCATCGTGTTATATTTTTTCACACTTGAAAATTACATCAACTGGTTTGCTCATCTCAGTTTTTATTAACCTGGTTATTATACTTATATGAAGAGAACTAAATAAACATGGCACATATGAACTGAACTTAGAGGATATACAGTATTGTAAAGTTTAAGACACATTGGTACAGGGCCAAAAATTCGTTCATTTTATGTTTAAAACTTGGATCACGACAGAGATACTGCTCTAGAAAGTGATGCTAACTGTCTAATTCATAAAACTGATGGATATAGAGCACTAAGATCTTCAATTGTTTTGAAAAGCTTGCGAAAACTGGCATCAAATGTAATAATGTCTTGATGACTCAATGGTAAAATTTCATATAATTAGTTTCCTTTGTTATGTTAGAAAGAGCAAGAACAATGAACTGAGAAAGAAAACATGAATTCATTCCATTTCATGTTTTCTTGCTCTCTTCTTTGTTAAAAATTCACAAATTTTCATTGGATTCATGTACTATGAATTGTATGGTCTTTTATCACACGTTATTATGTCAATCAAACTCATCATCAATTTGTTCCTAAATGGTATAATTATTACAAATAAACACTTTGGCATTTGTTTTAATTAATTGACTAATCGACAGTGAGTGTGAATCTTCACTGACTCAGCTTTTTACGACATGTAATATCGAGGCCTAAGTACCGCTCACATCAAGGCGCCATAGAAGTAATTGTAAAGAAAGCTATTAGAGGTTAAACTAATTCGCAAATCAGTTCATAAAGTGATTGGGTGTTGATCTTAGCCATCTGGGTATATCTAAAACATTTATTTTGAATCTTTTCGATTGGTGGTTGAGTACTTTGAATGATATGTCTTAGAATCGTCAAGAATATACCAGATAAATCCGCTCTTTATCTTCTTCTAGATCCTAGGCCCCACTGTCCTTCTCATTATAAGCAAAGATGGGTGGTGGATAGCACTGGAACCCACGATGCGCGTTTTGTCTTATTTGGAACTCGTCAGCTGGATGTACCTGCATCCCAGATTTGATTTTTAATGTGGGACTCGAACCCACTGTAGTGTGTGCTACTTATGTCGATAGATATAAGCAGTTTATAACATCAATCGAAAGTGGAATGCCTGACAGTAAAAGGTTGTGGGGATCGAACAGAATTGAACGGAAACAGAGAGTGATTAGCATGGAAATGAAGGAACAACAAAGTCTAAGACAATTGATGGACATTTTGTAAATGAAGTATTTAATTTATGGTTCTCAAATTTTACTAACATATTCTGTAAATTCGCGTTCCAATGTATTTGATTTTTCCTACGCACATCCTCGTTCAGTACACTAGTACCGTTCGCTTAAATAGAATCGCGTTGTCCGCTTAGCTACGGGGTCCTCATATGAAGTGAAGTTCTCAATTCATTTTTATTGGTCTTTTTAATGTTCCCATTGATCAATTACAGTCCTAAACATCAATGAGAAGATTCAAACAAACAATGCAAAAAATATCTTAATTGTTTAGTCTTCCTCATTTTGGTTGCTACTTCATTACCTTGACTTCTTTACTATTCATGTTTTTAATCTCATTTTTTCATGGTAATATAATATGACAACTTAGTCTAATGCACATTTATGCCAGGCTATATGTTAACTATGATTGATTTACTGACTACTGACAATTGCTTCAGGGGTTAGTTGTTTGATATATGATAAACCTTTAGGTATTATTTATAAGTAATTAAATGGATTGAAATAAATGCGATATCCTTACATTCAGTATAATGTTGGTTTGTAAATTTTGTCTGATTTGACAAATAATCACTGGTTCTAAACTTGTATATGAATGAAGGTATTCGAATAATCAATAATTCTCTTGGATCTCTATCAATAGATCCTCTAGTTATCCTTGAAGTTCTATTCCTAGTTAGAGGGCAAGGAAGAAGTTTGTGTTGGAAATTATTCATCCAATGCGAAAACAAATCACTAGTGTAGATTTATATACCTAAAAGCCGGATCTCAACCAGGTTGATGCAAAGTGTTATTCTGGGAAGTTATTAACTTTAGGGCCGAATAATGTGAGAATAGGGGAACATCCGTATTGAAGTTGGTCAGATGATGATCACCTTTGGTTGCAGATTACAACTGGCTACTTGGGAATTGATTTATTCATCTCTAAATTTCATAGTGAGCGTTTTCTTTTACTGTAACAATTTTTGTTAATATGATTTTATGAGAATCTAGCTGTCAAACTATTTTTATCATTAAGTTATTATATTCTGAAGAAAAGACAAGAAAGCAAGTTTTAACTAAACGTTATTACCTATAGTTAACTGGTTTGGCGCCGAAATGAAATTAGTTTATTCTAAATGATAGCAAACTCAGTTGTTTTCTCTATTTCTAAAAATCATTCCTTTCAAAGATGTGCGAGGGTTACCTATAAGCGAATTTTAAGCATATTTTGGTAGAAATATGATATTTAAGAGCATTAGCAATAACAGGCTACAAACCAACCTGTATTAGGTAACCATTTTAAACTAAGGAGCATAGAACAAACGATTTGTTTTGTTATGGGACTTTTAGCTTAAAGGTTAGACTCTCATTGAGAGATCTGAAGGTCTTTGGTTCTATCCTTAATATGGTTGTGGATGCTCACCGTTCAACAGTTTCATATCAGAATAAAACACCTGTCCAATACTTCCATGTTTCCACTAGATGTTTAACGTTGATTAGTCTGTTATCTCAGTAATATTCTATAATCGCCACAAAAGCCTTATTGTTGAGAAATCCACAAATATCCTTTGTCAAAATCTATAGATTCTTAGAAAACACCAGGGAGTGTTTCATCTTATCAACGCTAAATTGAAGCTTCTTGCAGTAATGTTCTTACTCGCATTTTGATCATTTTCTTTTGTCCGGTGCAGAAGCAGCTGGGATCATAGGAAGGAGCTATGAAGTCAGTAATAAGCATCCCGGTAGCAGAATTATCACTTATATTTTATCAGAGAGGAAGTGTTATACATATAAATCAATGAAATTGTTCATGTGTGTAGATATAAGAAATATTTGAGCTGAACAAACCCGTTTTGCTTAACAGTAAGAGCATGAGAATATTTTGTAGAGGCCAGTTCAGGTAGCTGAATAATTTTTAATCTTCACCTTTTCGATACAGTGCTCCAATTTTTAATAAGAATATCAATTACAGCTGTCGTTCGACAGTATGCTCATAACATTGTAGTTTATTGAGTGATTAATGTTTGATTTATAGTACATTCAAGCTATCTGAAACAATATCGAACTGTTTATGATTTTAAGTACAAATTTGTTTAACCTCCAAATGGTTTGTAGAAATTAGTCTAGTTTGATAGCTCTGATGGAGAAGTGTTAAAAAGTTATAAGTTAACGGCAATTTCGTCCTGGTTAAATACTCTTTATAGACGCATTTACAACCCCACATGAGACCACGCTTTTAGGTCTATCACTAGACGCAATGCTACTCATCTGTTAATCAAAATTCCGGTAGTCGTGGTTTCCGATTCCAACTAGTTCTTAGTGAAAACCATCTCCGTCAAACTAACTATCACTGATTCCTACTTTTGGATGTTAGCTTAGTTTGAAATGACCTTTGTCATGGACTGATAGTATAGTTGTGTAATTTGAAGGTTCAAGGTTCGGTTTTCGACAAGGCCATGAATGTGCTTTCCTGGAGAAGTTCCATATAGAACGAAACATCTGTGTATTTCATTTTGGCTTGCAATAATCCATAATTTGTTTTTTTCCTTCATCAGATCAATGCTGGAACCGTGTTGGCGATGAGATACAATGATCAAAGTCCATTGGAAAATCATCATACGGCTGTTGCATTTGATTTACTGAGTCATAAAGAAGTCGATCCCTTCTCCCATCTTTCAACTACTATTAGACAACGAATTCGCAAAGGAGTGATTAGGTAATATTATTTATTACAATGATTTAGTTTGACAGTCTTGATTCTTTTTATTTTCTCCCTCCAAAGAATAAGCACTAGTTACAGCTTTCAAATTAGTTGTTTTATCAGTTACGTGTAAAATCATCTTTAAAATATCAAACCTAAATTGACAATTCAATGGTTATTAAGAGGTAAAATATTCTTCTCCAAAAATTCTGATCATTGAAATTTGCACATGTCAGGAGGTGGATCGAACGTAAATTGATTGCATAATTAGGATCGAAAAATATAAGTTCAGCCGAACTGAGATGTCACATCAGTCCATGAAGTCACTAATTGTCCGTTTGAGTGACGTTTGGAGGTTCGGACTACCTGGCTGTGACTATTGATTAGGGGCCCTTTTTGGTGTGGTTCAAAATAAGTCTCAATGCCAAACATCAATTCACTCTTTGCATCCCCTTAGATCTTTATTTTCGGAATTACCTAAAGCCTTTTATATTCCAAGCTGATTCTTTCTTATCAACATTGGGTTGTGCAGATTGAAGTTATGGACCGATCAAAGCCGCACAATCATTGAAAACCTGAATGAACTGAGCAGCCATTTAGCCCTAAAATTGGGATTCCTCAACAGTGCGCACTCACAAACCCAGGACTCTCGTCACACCCTCAAACGCTTAACTTCTAGACTTGCTCACTATTGAATGCTGGCTCAGTTATCTGTAAGTTAGTCGTTTGCGTGCTAAACCAAGCGTCCAATGTTCGATTTCCTTTTTTAAGGGTTGCAGACGAGCACTGCTGAGAAATCCCATACTAGGACGACATGACCTTCTAGTGCTTCCAAGTTACTAATGATTATGTAACTTTGATCAGCTGGTGATTTCAATGTTGGTCTTTCTTCTGTAACCAAATTTTTTAGGCCTAAACTTTTCTTGCTGTCATTGATATCTTTATTATAATTTCAATCCAAATAACTTTATTTCACTATGCTTATGTGATTGACTTATGTATGTCTTTCAGATTCTACATTTCTTTTGACTGATCACTGTACTCTTAATTTACTTGACTCTAAAAGTTCCTGACTTCCAACGTAAACGTTCAGAACTACCATTGATTGAAGTGATTTTTATAGAAATGTCGTCACTTAAATAGACTTTTTTTAGTGAAGAATTGAAGCTTACTGTAGAACTAACAGAAGTAACTCAACAGTTCATCGAATCACATTTGTTTTTTTCCTTAACTGAATAAAGTATTTTTTTTGGGTATTTCACAGATGTATATTGGCTACAGATATGTCACGTCATAATGAAATATTAGATGAATTTAATCGTCAAGTTTTGACTGATTTAAACGCTGCATGGGAAATTGATCCAAATACAAAAAAACCTACATGGGTTATGAATAAAATACAGAAAGATCTTGTTATGGTCATTATTTTGAAAATATCTGATATATCTAATGAAGCACGTCCTTTAAATGTTGCTGGTCCATGGATAAATCGATTATTAGCGGAATTTTTTCACCAAGTAAATTTAATTGCTACTAAATTATAAATATCGTATGAATTTTTTTTTTGTATTTTTATGTTGTTTCTTTAACACAACGGCCATCTAGCTATTCTACGTTTTCCATAGTGGTCTAGCTTCACTTGACTCATGATCACAACCATTAAAGAAGAAAAAACGTTTTGCGCAATGAATTTTACCAAGGAAATCTTTTTTCATGATCATAAAATTTAGACAAATGACCCATTCATTTTCACTTACAGAAAAAACTGAGATTTTAGACATTCATTGAGACTTTTAGTTGTAACATTTAATATCATTTAAAGAGATTGTTATTTCAATCTAATTTGGTACACCTCAGAAGTGTGTATCCACAATCTTATTTATTTAAGTCATAATCGTGGATATTCAGGTTTCTCTGTGATTATGGTACCTTTAAATTGATTTTTTTAATAAGTTATTGGTTCATATTTTGAATAAGTCTTTTGATCGACGATTAGACACTGACTTTCTAGTTGTTTACTATTTCTCAGATGAGTTCTGCTTTACAGTCTCAGATAGAAAGCAGAAGGTGAGAAATAAGGAAGAAACTTTGTTTCGAGGATTACTTTATATGAGACAGAGAATAAATTTGGCTTCTTAGAAACATGCTAAAATTAAGAAGAAATCTGATAATTATTGGATTTGAATAATCCAGACATAATTAGTTATTTTCCAGATTTCTCTTGTACGTTTCTGAAGAACGCTGATCTATCGGAGTATTTCTACCATTATTCCTGATTTTTTGATGAAGCTTTCGAAGAATTACTGAGGTTCTCTAACAATTTCCTATTTCAACCATCTTATCATAGTTTAACAGTAAACTACTTTCCAAAATTTGTGACGTTTCTTAATGAGTCAGGAGATATTTAAATAGTACATAATTAAGATAAACATTGTTCCATGTGAAGAATTACCCACCGAAGACAATGGAAAATGATCACGTCCGATTAAATTTAGACTTTTATGCCAGGTTTTCAATGATTGTATGACCAACTTATAATTGATATGAAATTTAACTATCTCCATTTCTTTATGGCTACATAACTATGGGTTATCGATTATGTTACAGACAATAATATTGTACTCTGATTTTATCTACGTGTCACTTATTTAGAATAAAAGAAAATAACGTGACTTTATCAATATTATTATATACTTCATAAGTAATCTTTAAATGTAATTATTTCTAGAATACAAGTAATCAAGTACAGATTTATGTAGTCAGTTTCGTATCATACTTTTGATGTATGAATATTTGATACGATCCAATTGTATACATAGAATTAGATGAAGCAGCATTCGAATTGATCAATCAGTCAATCAGTCAATGGTTGGAAGTTAATCAAATTGATTTTTCATATGCCACTAATTCATTCAATTTTTAAACACTTACATCCACATTATAACTTTGTTACTATGTCCTTTTTTATTCCACTTATAATTTATTATTTAAATGATTTGTCTATTTCAATGAATGATAATTAATTTTCCCAGGTAATCATTTATGAGTGTTGATTACATTCTTTAAAAATAAAGAAAGAAATAACCAAATTGTATTAGTGTTTAGCGTTTTTTTAGCGAGTTAGTTTTCTACGGGATGGGGTCGCTAACCTCATACTCAAACCTCCTCCTTTATCCGGGCTCGGGGTCGGCATTAGCCCCTGAGGGGCTCCAGGCAGAGTCAAATCATATTAGATTATTACAATATTTTTTATCATTGATTCTTTTAGTAAAACGTTACAAAGTCAATATAATTCATTTTGTCGTTAGGGTATAAGATTTAAATATGTGCATTATATACTCATATAACCAATAATAAATTGAACAATACTGATTATGTTACAAATTCAAATGTTTTATAGATAAATATAAAAGTTTTACTTATTAAGTTGTTCATTATAAATTTGATGTTTGTTATACATTATTTTCATCTTCTATCATAATGTAATTACAATGTAATCATTAGTCTAAATAATTGAACCATGTTTTTAAAACTGTTGGGGACGTTAGATCCCCAGAACTCACTTGGAAAGGGACCTAATTATGTAATTTTATTTAGAAAATTTGAATTTCTTTGTTTTCGCGCCAAAAACGCTCCTTTCACCTTCAGGTCGTATTTCCCACTTGTGAGAATTTTAAACGCTATTGATCCGTTGTGTCTTTTAGTATGCTATTTTGCAGCACTTCCCAAGGACGGGTTTTGTGCTGTATATATACGTTTTGATTTGTGTCTGTTTTTATCGCTCGTGCTTCTAGCTTTTTACGGAATATACTTAACCGTTCGGACTTTGAATTCTCTCTATAGTTAGCGGGGCTAGGACGCAATAGAATAGCTAGTTCATTGGTCTTTGATCATAAGTAATTGTTTTGTTCGCAGTCTATGTGAACTGGTAATTGCTTCAAACTTAGCAAAAACATTAGAATCTATCATTATCGACTAAATAGAACTTGAACTGTGTGTATTCTTGTCTTTTTTATTGATTTCTATTACTAGTATTATTATTACTTTTGATTATTGTAATACAAACATGATGGTTCATTTATTACATTTACATTATAATTTAATGTTAGCTTATTCATTCTATATTCATTCTTCATTTGAAAACGTGAGATAGAAGTTGGACAACATTATCAAACTCATATTTACACTATATTATCTAGTATTATGGTTCTTCTATTATATCGTTATGTTAATTCATCGTTCCTATTTCCTCATTGGAATTACTACTTCATATATATGTATATATATGGGAGAACCAATTTAATTTTCCTTAGAAAACTACAGAGTTCTTTGGTAAAATATGACAATCATACATCAAATACTTCATATGTAAATCTTTCATCAACTGTCTTTTACATCCTTCATCATTTTTCTAGTTCCTTTCTGTTCCTCTTTCTGTTTTCTCCAGTTCTTAACCTTCTTTTGACAGGTATGTTTGTCGATATAAATAGCCTACGCTATATATATAACTGTACGGCTTGACACTTATTTCATTTCATACACATAGTTCCTTTTATTATGTTGAAAAGATAAGAACAAAGATTCTAGCTGAACAGCATGAATTCATTTTATTTCTTTTAGTTCTCATCAGCTGCTTACAACCTGTAATACTTAAAAATCATCATTATATAATGAGTTTAAATTACTTACATGAAACAGTTTAATCGGGAGTTATGTTGAAGACATATTAGTATAGCAAGAATGTAAATAAATTTACTTGTCGAATCGTTTGCCCTAGCGGCGCGAGGTGATAAAGGGACGTGAGAAGTGTTAGTCGAGGAGATAAGAGAGGTATTAGGAGGTGTAGGAAGGATTTGAATGTGACCAACTTGTTACGGATATGAGGGCTGGTGTCACTTCCCGGCTGACCACATCGTGGAAGGGTATTTCTTGAGGAACCTGAAAAGGTAGTTGGATTAATGTTGGCCTTAACGAATTGGAATCGTGACCGCAGAGTCCAAGGGACAACTTCTTGAGGCCGGTCGCGTACGGTCTTCTTGTGGGAGGTTTTTTACGTGTTAGCTCCGTCCTTCGAAGAGCCTTATCGCCGGAGACGGAAATCCGTGAGGTAAGGTGAGGTGTGACACTTTTAGGCAGCATGCTGGTTGTCCGAGGGAAACACCTTACTGCCGTCACACCCCTCTACAGTCAGCAGTACGACTTCGCCCTTAGACCTTGAGTTGATGCTTTTAGTCTTACCGTTCTCCGATCGACCTGCCTGGCATGGTAGAACATACAGGAACATATGTTCCAGCCAATATAGCTCGGTTGGGTCATCACGATAGGCAAGCCCAACCACCGCGTCAAGGTAGCAGCTACGGTCGGGAAATAAATTTACTAGACTGAATATGTAAAAGAAAAGTCTACAGCATTGATTGTGACAACAGTTCAAACGGTTAGAAACAATTGATTATATAATAAATAATCGATGTTAGGAATAAAATGAGTAAAGTCCAGTTAAATCCATTTAAAAATATGAACTTCTCTTTATATTTTCTTTTTCTTAAAAATTTTATTTTATAGAGTGATTATGAAAAACTTGTTGGTCTTCCAGTTGCTCCATTTATGGATCGACATAAAGTGACTAAATCAGCCAGTCAATGCGGTTTTATTCGTTTTGTTATTTTGCCTCTATTCGAATCGTTAGCTAAATTATTACCAGAAGTTAAAGTAAGTTTTTTGTATAGAATAAAATAGATAAATTGTCAATCATTTATTATCTATTATGATTGTCAACTGATAAACTGATGTTCTTTACGTCAATATTCGATTATTCCATGAAATAAGTTTTGTTTTTTCAAAATGATTCAGAATTCAAGTTGAAATTCAATAAGAGATGAAATATTGTTACTAATATAAAGAATAATGATATAAAAAGTGTTTGGAATAATTTTTAGAATTGAGTGGTATTACGAACTGACTTAAGCTTGCGATTCATTGAAAAACACGAAGCATTGAATAGCTGATCTATCTTACTTTGGAACTTCTTAGTGATACACATCCGTGACGCCATCACTAGGGATCGAACCCAGACCTTTTGATTTCGCGGTGAACGCCCGATCTTTAAACAATTGAGCCGATGTAGAAGTCTAATTTCGATCATTTAGCGAGTTTGTGGTACCACCTACGATTACCTGGAGTGGTTAATTATCTCACAAGCTACATGAATGGATCCCTTTGATCATGGCCTCACACTTGAATTCTAGAGTAATACCTAGAATTTCGTACTAGTGATCACTTGGTCATAATCAATAAAGACGTGAAGCAGTTACCCACCGAAGACAGTGAATGGCTCGAAATTGTATGGTTCAAACGTTCTGTCGTGATACGAAAGCTCTTGGTTTCGATCTTCGGTCTAACCGTGTATGGTCACCAGTCTGAAATGTCTTACTACTACAAAAAAACTTTTCAGTGCATCCTGGTTTTGACGGATGTCTAACTAAGGTCAGTTCTTGAAATTTTTAACATCTAATAATCGCCAGAACTTTTGTAATGATCATTTAAGAAAGACAATCCTGTCAAATTTCTATTAGCATTGAACATATTTATATGGCTTAGATCAGCAGCTATAATGAATCATTGTGAGACACTGGTCTGTGATTTTCCAATATTGGTTAGAGTCTTATTTGAGAACCTGTGAATACAAAATAATAATGCTGTGATATTTTAGGCCATTATTGATAAATTTACATACTTTATAGAAGCATAAAGATTCAGACAAACAAAGAAATTATGATCTTAGGATGAATATTTTTGAAAACAACTTAAATAGATCAGTTAAAAATAAGAAGAACTTAATATAATTGATCAGGGAGAAATTATAGATGTATTTGTGTGATTGTTATAGATCTCTCAGCTTTGTCAACATGACTTTCCAATTATGTGTCCTTAACATTTCGAAAAGCTCATCAAAGCAACCTGGATCCGGTCTAATCAATATTCAGCAGTTTTGTGAACCAACTGGTTGTCTGTCACCAGATAACAACTTATATCAAAGTTGTTATCGATCTTACTGTTTTATTTTTCCGGGTGTTGAACTTCTACCGGGAGATTCACTTGTTGGCTTAGAATATGACGATGACATAATCCTATTTGGTGAAGACGCTGACAAAATGCAAGGTCTTCTGACCACAATAAGCAACAATGCAAGCATGTTCCGGATGCGATTCTCCTCATCGAAATGCAAAATGTTACTTCTGCAATGGGTTGCATCGATACCCGAATTAATGATAGAGAGTGAAGTTGTTGAACGTGTCGACCACTTATCTCGGAAGTCTCGTCATACCTTGTGGTTTGGTGTGTGACAAAATCTCAGAACGGATATAGAAGACTCGACTAGCTTTTGCCGACTTTCGTCATTTATGACGTAGGCGAGATATCCGTCTATCAACCAAAGGACGTGTTTACTGCGCAGCAGTTCGTTCTGTCCTATTTTATGGCAGTTAAACATGGCCGGTAAGAGTGGAAGATATTCGTAGGTTACTAGCATCTGATCATAGGTGCCTTCGAAGCATTGTTCGTATATACTGGGACCACCGAGTACTTAACGCAGCTGTCAGGAAACGGGTACTAGATGAGGATGTCAAATCAATTGATGGAGTAGCGAGACGTGATCAGATGAGATGTCTGGAACACGTGTTACTTATGTTCAACCACTGACTGCCATGGCGTGCAATGACTCATAGTGTAGTAGTAGGTTGTAAGAAAGCTAGGGATGGCCAGATCCAAACATGGCACAAACCCATGAAGTCACTGACTAGTGGACTGAGTCATGTTGGTAGGTGTAGACTACGTGGTTGTGATCTGCGAGATGATAGCAACGGATGGTTAGGGACGTTGAATGACATGGCTGAAAATCGTTTGTAATGGCGTAGATGCGTCCACTCTTTGTGTTCTCCCAAATTCCAATCTTCTGAATTCTTCATGTCCCTTTCTTTTTTATTCTCTTTCCAAATTTATTTCACTGGATTATACTCATTGAATAACATCTTCAAACCCTAATGTTTCCGATTACTTCTTATAGTTTTACCACCTCTACCAATATAGGATTTGAATGGACAACCGCGTGTCTGTGCTAATGTGGTATAACAACTCAAACTGATGTACGTACGTACTGACGAAGTTCTACGTTGTTACTGACTGGCTGACTGTTTTATTTTTTTAATCGTATCTCACAATGTGATTCATTATAGTTTGCAAATATTACCATTCATGCATGTTCAGTTAGCTTTTCATTGTTTAAGAAACAAAAACATAAATGTTTTCATAAATTATTCAATATTACTGAATTCCTACTTGATAACTAGTATATGACAAAGTATAAGATTAGCAATTCTTATTTTTTTAAATTTTTTTTTTCAATATGTGAAATGGTTTTCATCTGTTATTAAATCTAGTTGAGAAACCAAGTATTTCTTTGTTTTCTTTTGTACTTTTGAAGTGCCTGTATTGATTATTAATGTGAAAACACATTGATCAAATGTGTTATAATGAAAATTTAATGATGTGTACTTTACTAGCCTAAATGAAATCTTTTCTTTTTCATTAAAATTCTATTTATTGGATAGTCTATTAATGATATTTGGGGTTTTTTGTAAGTTCTACTTCTAAAAGCATTTGAATATTATATGTAGTATAAAGAAAAGCAATTCAAAATTGAGAATGTAATGTGAGACTTGTGAGGATAGTTCACGAGTGAACTTGAGGAAGCTCTAATCAGCTCAAAAAGAGCTGAAGATATTCCATTCAATCATCGTTTGGAAGAATATTCCAGAATCCCTACGTGTAGCTTTCCTATTGGACAGATGATAATAACTCCCTGTGTGCGGATTGGATAACTATAATGATGATTTTGTTTTTACTAAAAACTATAAATACCTGGCAGTTTTGTATCATAATTGACACTATTTGGAATAACATTTATGTACTACCTTTGAGCGATGCTAAAGGGACTTTGAGAATGTCCACCTAATAATTAAGACCAAATGAACATTATGAACCTGTGTGAGGAATTAGAATTATGATTTACAGTTGATGATTAAGGTTATAAATTAGATTTAGGGTTTTCATCACGAACTGATATCAGCTATAATACCAAAACTCTATTTAGACAAATGGATGAGTAAATTTCGCACCAAAATCCAAGACCTGTTATCTTATACCAGATTGGTTCGCCCATAAATTATATTCTCGCTGAATGTAACTTTTAGGCTTTTGCGTTATATTTATATGTCATTTATTTCGGATAGTTGATATACATTTGCATGTTTCTCAAAACGTTGAAATGATTGCAAAAAATTACTTTTTGTCATTATAAAGTAAAAATGACAGTAATACAGGTAGTATATATTCAATTCTGCAACGTTTGATTGTTTATAACTGACAAATAGATACTACCCTCAAGTTATTACTCCAAGCTTGGTGGACTTACTGGTCAGAAGCTCATCTTTCATTTTCGATCGAGATCCACTCATCTATATTGCTACAGAGCATTTGCATTATAGTTGATATCAGTTCGTAATGAAAACTTAAGACTAAACTCTTACTCATAATCTTAAATATCTAACCTTAATCAGGAACACTGTGCAAATTCATCAAAACTAATTTGGGCTTCTTTTAGTGTTCAGGAAAACAGATAATCCTTAAGGACGAATATATATGCAATTTCTGCCTCTCACATCGACAGTTAGCTGTAGATGATTTGAAAAAAACTTACCAATTATATAAAATCTTCTTATATTTAGTATATCATTGAATGTTTTTTTCGTAAACTAGTTATTTCACAAAAGGTACTTTTTGATTAGTTAGTATTCGAATTGGGATTACCAATTGTAGCGTGGCGTCGAGTTGAGATTAACTATGAACACCGCTACCAAGAAACACGTGCCAAGCGAATCAGAAGGCGTAAGAAGCTCGTTCCAAATGACTCCATAAAATCCCCGAGAAGCCGAATACGAGAAGGCAAGTAATGGACCAAGTCGAGTTATGTTTGCTGGCGATCTCGTGGCATCGAAAGGATACCGAGATCGTGCCAGGATACAAGCTTGGTTACAGAACGTAACCGAATTCGCGCGAAGTTACAATCGAAGTGTAAGCATAAGAATGGAAGCACAAAATAGCTGTCATTAGCACAGTCAAACAAAAGCACGTTAAAACAAACACTGGTACAGTTGGTTATAATAATAATTGTTTTTATTAAACCAGTCGTGTTCTCGTGATGAACGTGAGTCACTACAGGAGCCCCCCGCTAGAAAGGGTTTACACTTTCGATAAATAGCGGTTTGAATCGTGGGACTGATCGGCTGACGAGCGATTGTAGGACGGAAGAATTGGCGAACAGGAAAGCGATCGTTGATCGTCGAGTTGCCAACGAAGGTCGTTTTCGGAGAAAGGTACCAGGAGCGATGTGCTGTATTTGTTGCTTGAGTTGGCATGCTGCACCAGAGTGGTTTGTATCCAGAATCTGAAGAGGGCGTTCGTAGGGGTCCGGACCAGAAACGCTGCAGACGTAGGACGAAACCACGTTGAGCCGATGAACCAGAAGCGACCATAACGACCAAGTTCGAGACCAAGCGTATGCCAAGCATTCGAAACCAATATATCGACTGAGTACGTTGACAAGAGCACGGGTGGCCAGTCCAGCTTTCGCCAAAGTTGACTGAAGTCGACGGAACCAAACGGAGGTGGTCGAAGGCGTGGGCTCAGGAAACAAAAAGAAAGTCAAAAAAGAGAAGAGTGTAGCATGCATGTAGCATAGGAATAACCCTACACCGTATCGGTTGTTGACTGTGCGACTAGTCGCGGAAGCGTACGGGCAACCGTACTCGGCGACCGGAACGTGAGACGGCAGTCTCGTTCGCGTCGCGTGAGCCTGCAATCTCATCCGAAGTCAAGGGCGGCGTGGTCTGCTGATCTGGACGTGAGACTGTCGTCTCGTCCGTAGACGGTGCAGATGACGCGTGCTGTTGACTGGGACGTGAGAATGAGGTCTCAGATGTATCTAGCGTGGGACCTGAAGAAGATTTAAGGATCCCGCTAGGTTTGATAGGTCTAGCATTGAATCTCAGGGTGTCAGATAGGGCACTGTCATCGACGTGTGCTGGTTTGAGACGATCAATGCTGACGATCTCGACGCGTCCATATCGATCAACCTTGAAGGTCTTTTCGTGACGAGCGATCACGTGAAAAGGGCCTTCGTAGGGTCGTTGCCAAGGTTTGCGTACCGAATCTACTCGTACAAAAACATGTGAACAGGTAGATAACTCTCGAGAGAGAGCGACCTGTCGATGTTGTATTCGAGTTGACACCGGAGACAGCGTTCGCATAAATGCAGACAGTCGATGGACGTAGTCTGATTTACCGAAATTAGGTCTGCTCCGTGGTGTGAAGAATTCTCCGGGCAGACGCAATGTCGTGCCGTTCAGTGGCGGAACATTGGATATCTGCCTTTAAGCTCGTTCTCGCCCCTAAAAGAACGAGCGGTATGGTTTCGTGCCAGTTGCCGTTTTCGTGTGCTCGTAGAACACTTTTAAGTTGGCAGTGAAACCGTTCAACTTAACCATTTGGTGCTGGGTGGTAGACGGATATGCTTATGCGTATGCATGCCGTACCAAGCAGCCGGGTCAGCGAGGAGAATCGTTAATAGTGTAACATTTCTCGAATGAAGCGTGGAATTCATCATCACGCGAATAAAAAGTGACAAGGATTCGGTACACATACGTGTGAGTCCATTATATTAATACTATTCTTATCGTTATCCGTCATGTCGCGTATATTATATATTAAAAAATATGAAAATATACGACAGACGTGGATAGATAAATCATAGACTCACCGAATTGGCTTCTTTGGAAGATTTGATCAGAAGTTGAGGCGTGTTCCAAAATACGGGTCACCAATTGTAGACGAATTGGGATTACCAATTGTAGCGTGGCGTCGAGTTGAGATTAACTATGAACACCGCTACCAAGAAACACGTGCCAAGCGAATCAGAAGGCGTAAGAAGCTCGTTCCAAATGACTCCATAAAATCCCCGAGAAGCCGAATACCAGAAGGCAAGTAATGGACCAAGTCGAGTTATGTTTGCTGGCGATCTCGTGGCATCGAAAGGATACCGAGATCGTGCCAGGATACAACCTTGGTTACAGAAGGTAACCGAATTCGCGCGAAGTCACAATCGAAGTGTAAGTCAAAGAATGGAAGCACAAAATAGCTGTCATTAGCACAGTCAAACAAAAGCACGTTAAAACAAACACTGGTACAGTTGGTTATAATAATAATTGTTTTTATTAAACCAGTCGTGTTCTCGTGATGAACGTGAGCCACTACTAGTTAAAAATTGTCTGGAAACTGATTGAGTTTGTTTTAAATTCACTTCTATACTATAATCATAACATAATTACATTCATTTTGTGCAACTCAAGAAAGCTATACTTTTGTCGGTGAGACTATAATTTATGGACGACCTTTCAGTGACGCTGAAGTGACCTTGAGAGTGAACAACTACTAATTAGGACTAGATGAGGGTTATAAATCAGTTAGAATTCTCATTTACAGTTGATGGTTTGGGTTAAAAATTAGATTTAGGGTTTTCATCACGAATTAACATCAGCTATAATGCCAAAACTCTATTTAACCAAATGTATGGATGAATTCCGCGCCCAAATTCGTGTCTTGTTACCTTATATCTGATTGATTCGTCCATAAATTATAGTCTCACCGTTTTGTCTCTCAAATTGCTTGGTGAATAAAAATTAGACTGTATTCTATTATAAATTGACTGTTTCACAAGTGACTAATTTTTAAAATTTACCAATGTAGCTAGTTCATTTTACATTAATCGTTTAGAAAGCTACAATTTTTATTAAGGATATTGTTGGACCTGAAGGTAATCTTTATCAAGAGCTAATTTCTCATAACCAATTAGTGATAACCATAGAATATAGCTGACAACGTCTGGTTGTAAACTTTTTAAAAGTAGATACACCCAAAATCCTATCATGGAGTGATTTCAATATATGCAACCTTCACAGTAATTATGTTAAATTTACCAAAGGATTGTCTTCTATATTCAATAAAACTTTGTTCTTGTTTTCTATCTTACTAGCCAATTATTGTTCAACCGGCCTTAGAACAATTGGCCTACTATACAGACTTACAAAATAACGAAGAAAAGAAAACCAATACTGATAATCAGAAATCAAATAATAATGAACATCAAAGTGATAATAATCATAATCAAGACAAAAAAGAACATAACAAATAAAATATGATTACTTCGAATGAGTCTACTGATCCTGGACAACTTCCAAGCATAAAGTTTTTCTTTATCGTTACTTTCATTACAGTTGATAATTATTTTATTGTGTTAATTTAACCGTTGAATAGCCAGATATTTCATTGTTCGTGTTAACTGTGGCGAAAAGACTTTTTTTTTCTCAATAACAATAAACACGTTTACAAATCATTTCAGGTAAATTATCAAGAAATGTACTAATTTTCATTTTGGTGTTAATGTTGATATTTTTTAACGTTATATTGTAAATTAGATGAGTATTTCCTCAGAGGTTCTTTGACTGAATCCCTCGGTCATATCTCTCACCCAAATAATCGCTTTTGCTCAATATCTGTATTATTACACCCTCGGATGATATATGTATGCAGATATCAGAAATTGTTTATTGTAAATTAGCTTTTCAAAGAATCTGATATTTATATTTTGAAGTCTACAATTAGTTTTAATCTAAACGAATAAGTTGTATACAAACTGATCTATTTTTTAAAAAAAATAATATACTTCTGTTTATCGACTGTGTACATTAACCTTTCAACCTTAATCATCAATATATTCTATTTCATTTTGAATCAACTAAACATTTTAGGATACGTTTTCATACTACTATCATTATAAATAAGTAAGCAAAAACAGTGCACTTAAATTTTCTTTCTCATTGGAGTACTGTTTTTATTACTAATAAATGAATAAAGGTCTTTAATAATCTCTAACTCTATATTTCTTCTTTATATAGTTTTATCTTATCTCTAAAATTAATTTTACAATCTATATAGTGATAACAGATCTGTTATCTTTGTATTTATTATTTTATAAAACATTACGATTGTTTTATGACATACATTCGCTTATTATGTTTTGTGTTTTATTAAGCATATAGAGACTATAAAATATTATTGATGAAAATATTTATTAACTCAATCCAGCTGTAATTTTAGTCTTTTTCTTTTCTCCGTTTATACAAATTACAACCACCTTGTGTTTTTTTTTTGTCATTTTCTTTTTGTACTCTTCTTTCGTCAATATTTTTCATTCTTGTATTTTTAATATTTAAACAGGCAATAAGTTATAATCTTTTATGAATAAGACATAAATCAATGAAGTATTGTGTATTCCATTCATAATGATATCTTTTTTATGTTAATATATTGTACTTATGAAAATAGAATGGAGCTGAATCTTTTTCAATCTACTGCCTATATAGGATTCTTTAATCTAATTATTCTATTATGTTCATATTTGTTTGTTTGTTTGTTTTAATTGTTTATTGGAATAAATGCATTCCTTAATTGTTAAATAAGACATTGTAAGTGTTTTGTTTTGTCTATTGTTAACATCTATTCAGTATGCGATTGTTTCTTTTTTCTCTTTTTTTTCTTTTTTTTTCGTTGTTTATTTTAAAATATGCACTCAGAAAACAGAAATCTGTATGTTGTTCCTTCTTATTCTTCTTCTTCTTCTTCTTCTTCTTCTTCGCTACTTTGTATTGAACTTTTTAAAAGAAAATAATGTTTGCTTTTTTATACGATGATTATAGTACAGTGAAGTTATACTGCCTCTATTCTTATTAATCAATGATACCTTCAATGTTGATATCTTCATTACTATGTATTCTATCTATCTATCTATTTTATTGTTGTCCATAATGTTGGGTTGTTTTATTTGTTTGTTTGTTTGTTTGTGTTTTTTATATCTACATGCCTTTTAATGATCTTTTTGTGTGTTTGTTGTACTTTTGTTATTTTTTTTCAAATATTGTAAGCTTCTTTTATACAATTTGCAACTGAATACTCATATATATATATATATATATATAGATGATTGTTACTTCAGTTGTATGTAATTATTGTCTACATGAAATTAGAATACATTAATAAGAAGATAGTTACTTGGTATTGATGTTTAAATGTGTTTATTAAATTCGTTAGATATAAATTCAATTAAGTTGTTTAGTGACTGGTGCTATGTCGAACTGACATAGTCTATTCTAGCTTCTGGATAAATCAACTTGTTCAACTTCTTATCAAGTTATATTTTGATCTTGTTAATGATACGGTTATCAACTTTGACTGATTTTATGTAAGTGTATGTAGGTATATTTCATATCGTACTCATCTCATGGCTATAGCTTATTTTTGTCTGACTATAAATATTGGTTAATGCTTGATCAAATCGAAGAGGCTTATATGTCTACTTTATTGAGCGTCGTTTCGATTCGTACATTTTTATTTGCATCACCGATTGTTTGTCTGGATCAACGACTGTGTGAAATACACCTATTCAAAATTGATTCTCGTATTTGACTAATATAATTCCGTTATTTAAGTCGAAAATTATATACGACGACTGGTGATATGTATATTTCGATAACAAGTAGCACGTGATCAAATCGGAGTCAGATTTAAGGCCAGTAAAATGTTCAGTCGCTTTCAATAACTGTATGAATTTGCATACCAGATGTCAGACCTTCTTTCAATTAAAAAATGCTAACCAATGAGATCAGCTGCGTAAGGAGTAGTACTCTGTCAAAAATGAACATAATCGGTAATTAAGCACACTTACAGATACAGATCAATTTATTTCAACCGAATGATTTTGTATACAATATGACACGTTAAAATTTTCAGATTTATCTCATATGTGGTAGGCGATATACATTTCTATAAATAGTCCAAAATATGCAACAAACTACTGTTTTGTGCTATTAAGATCTTATTGGTTCCGCGGCTGGTAACAATTCTTTATGAAAATGATTGCTACAGATTTTTTGACTGATATATTATTAGCAGAAGGAGATTTTGTCGATATTATAGTAACTTTAGTAGTTGAGATCGTGAGTCAATTGAAGCTAGACTATCATGGAAAACCTGGAAGCACTGGATGGCCGTTTCGTCATAGTATGGGACGGGATAGTGGATGCACACTGCTGAGGAGTCCTACAGTAGAACGAAACAGTTGTCCAGTGTTTCCAAGTCTTCCATGATGGTCTAGCTTCAATTGACTCATGATCTTAACTACTAAAATTGATATATTATTATATAAAAATGAGTAAAATCTGATAAGTTACTTACATTTCCAAATTGACAGAAAAGACAGTAAGTTCTCAAAACAAGGTATCTAATCAGTTGGCAAACTTTAATAACTGACGAAAGTATAGTTATTTAACAGTGTTCAAGACAGAAGAGTCTTTTAGCATAAGATACGGGATATCTGATACGAAACTCATTCCATATCAATGACTTCTAAATAATTTGTTATGGTTATACTACTCACAAACAATAAACATATTCACTTTGAACAAACTGTTTGTTGTTTGAATAAGTAGATAACTGAAACTTCTATGATACATACTTGTTATGTTAATTACTACACGTCTGTGTATTGTACTCTAAGTACATCATATTTTCTCATTGGACGCTCAACACATTTTTGTTTACTCTGTTACTATGGTGTATATACTGTGATCAAACAGGCTTCATGAAACTAAGGCCATTCACCAGGTGACATGATATTCATCAACATTTATTAAACATTTATAAACTATATTCAAATGAACAAAATTAGAACTTTTCAGCAATGAAAGTTTTCATTTCGACAATACCAACTGTACAGTCATATTGATAGTTAACATTTTTGCACTAGCGGTCTATAATAAAATAGAGAATTAATATGTCATTAGGACAAGTACTGAAAGGCAATCATTATGTTGTGACGTGAGACTGCAGATTAGAGTGAAGCGTTTTATCGATCGCTTCAGTGACACGGAAAACACGTACGAACGACCTAGAGTTCCGATTGGCCCTGCTTCGCTGTCTATCCCAGCCAGTTGAGTTCAGAACGCAAGTCTTAGCCTCTGAGATATGAATCATTATATTTCAGACATACTCTATTTATATACCAATCAACCAGACCACATCGTACCATAAAATAGGAAACAACATTTGTACAATATTTGACAAGTGAAATAAATATTGACCAATAGGAAATGTCCATTTAAAGTCCAAGGACGCCACTAGACTTAACATGATAATTATTGGTATACTCCTCTGCATCCCTAACACATTACTTAATGTAACGTCATATTCAAATGCTAATACGTATGAAATTGAACGAGAAACGGGATATTTTAGAAATAACGTTTCTAACTGTTGAGCTTGGTGAAACGGGATTAAGTCCTCCATGGAGAAATAGTTCCCTAAGAATTGTAAGTGCACCTTGCTGACGAGTACTAAATAACAGAAAAAAAAATAAGTTGAGAGATTCCTAACTTCTACCTCCAACCACTACCTTACATCTGAGCACAGTTCATACGATCCCGAGTCACATAGATTAGTAACAGTCATATAGAAACTTGATTGATAAACTTCGATCAGCATTAAGAAGAACTTGACATGCATGACATTGGTCAGTGATCAGTCAACTGTAAAGTTTATCCTTCGTATAACTTTCAATTAGATAATATTTCAAATCTCACGTCTGTATGTCACTTCATCTTTATTGACTTTTGACAACTACATAAATTCTGTGAACTAGTGGACTACACTTAATCTCGTCAACCACATTCATCTGGTTGTTATTTAACAAAATAAACTAATTTCCAACAGTGTGCACTCACGACCCCATCCATAGATTAATGTTTGGTGCGGGAACGAAGGTTTTAAGTCCGCTTTTCTCTTGGGAGACCGTGAATGAGTACTTCTATATTGTACTAACCATCTTTTCAGTGCTCCTATGTTTCTAATGGTTATGTAATTTTGGTTAGTTTTCGGTTTCTATGAAATTCAACAATCGCTACAACCCCATACTGATAAGGCCAAGTAATTCCTTCATGATTCCCAGTATCAACAAAACTCCCTTATTTTATTTACTTTATGTGAAACTCGCAGTTAATTTTATTCTAGAGTAGAAATCAGATAAAGAATTATGAAAATTACTGGATAACGTTTTCGTTTTGATTTAGAACTCTTCATAGGTACACATTCACAACCCATTACATGATAGAACACAGAGTTTTCCGAAATCACACAGTGCTCCAACCGAGGATAAAAGTACTTGGCATTATGGTTAATTTGTCAATGGTTCCCCAGGTGATGTCGGTTAATGATAAAAATTCAATTCTCCTAAAATGGTTCAAATGAATAATCCATCATGATCGTTTTCTGCGTTGTTCTCTGCTATTTTCGAAATTGGTCATCAGAAAATATATAACCCACTAGGAAATAGTTTAAGTGACGTGTACTAACTTCGATGTAATTTTCGCAATTGAAATCATGAGTCTCTCTAAGGTAGATCACCATTAAGAACCTGTAAGCACTGGATGGCCGTTTCATCCTATCATGGTACTTCTCAACAGCGCGCATCCATAAATCCGCACACGGGACTCGAATCCAAGACCTTCGGTCTTTCACGCGAACGTTTAACCTTTAGACCACTGGGTCGGGATCTAAAAGTGTTAATGTCTAACTTAGATCGACTCGTAGTTTCTACTGTGAAAATACTACAATCTCCACAAATCCCTCATATTGATTTATTATAATTCACAAACACATTCGCAGTAAATACAGGAGTCTACAAGGAAGGAATTCAGCTATATGTCTATTTCAATAAAATTATACTTTGATACTATAATATATCACCAGAATCGGAATCAAATAGAAGATTCAGATTTCGCAGACGACCTGGCACTTCGATCCGACACACATCAACAGATGCAGATGAAGACGGCCGGTGTAACAGCAGTCTCTGCATCAGTAGGCTTCAACATACACAAGGGAAAACCGAGATCCTCAAATACAACATGGAAAATACCGACCCACTCTGACTTGGTGGGGAGACTCTCTAAGAGGTGGAAAGTTTCACGTATCTGGGTAGCGTCACCGATGAAGGAGGAGGATCGGATGCAGACGTAATGGTGAGGATTGGCAAAGCAAGGACAGCATTCCTACAGTTGAAGGACATATGGAACTCGAAACAAATGTCAAATAATATCAAAGTCAGAATCTTCAACAGGAACGTGAAGATAGTTCTACTGTACAGACCTGAAACTTGTAGAACTACCACAACCATCACCACAAAGGTACAAGTATTTATAAACAGTTGCCTACACAAGATACTCAATGTCCGTTGTTGACCGGACACCATCAGCAACAGCCTTCTATGAAAGAGAACAAACCAGCTTTCAGGTGAAGAGGATTTTAGGAAAAGACGTTGGAAGTGGATAGGACATACATTACGAAATTCACCAAACTGCATCGCAAGATTAACGCTAACTTGGAATTCTGAAGGGAAACAGAAAAGAGGAAGGTCAAAGAACACACTGCGTTGAGAATTGAAAGCAGATATGAAAAGGATCAATAGTAACTGGAAACAACTCGAAAGGATTGTCCAGGACAGAGTTGGATGGAGAATGCTGGTGGACAGCCTATGCTCCTTCACGAGGAGTAACAGGTGTAAGTAATTAAGTAAGTAAGTACCAGAATACTTATGTTTGCTTGCATACCAATAGTTATAATGTACAAACTTTTTCAATTATTTAATTCATAATCCTTTAGTTTCATAAGCATTTCAAAGTAACATTTATAACAAATATATGAACAAAATAATAATAGGTATATCGAAGAACCAATTAAATACAACTGAAACTGACTCGCAATAATGAGGCGTTACCTTATTTTAATTTTCCTCTTATTTATATTGAAAATAGAGTAAAAAGGAAAAACAACGGGTATATATATATATTCGTAAGTCAGACACAAAACGAAAAAGAGAACCATAATTCATAATTCATTCATTATTACAAACTGTTATCTTATTCACAATTACATTATTACATAACGGATATCTTATTATCTAATTAGACTATTTCAGTAATCATAGCATTTGTTTACATAGAAACAAAAAACAATATATACAATTTACACAGATTGAGTCGTGAGGAACCGATCTCCTTTTATTAAAGTTAATCTATGTATATAGACGTATGAAGAGAGAGAGAGAGAGGTAAACAATTTTCGATTTCTTTTCTGAAATAGATCATCAGTTCATTTCATAATAATAATAATAATAATAATAAATTATGAGCATAGTAACAACAATCATTAATGACATGAATTTGTATATGAAAAACTTATTCATTATCCCTACATTATCATTAATACCATTCATCATCCTCTTATTCATTATGATTATTATTATTACTTCCAAAGAAATAAGTAATATATACATACATATCTAATTCCAAATAATGAAATTTATCATTTATATATTTTATATATATACTTCTTTATTATTTTCTTTATCTCAATTACAAAATCAGAGTCAACCATATCCTTATTCTTATTATTATTTAAGATTATTTATTTTAATACCAAATGATAATTGTTTCTCATCTAATGGATTATTTAATTTTACCGCCAGTATTCAAGATACAATGAATTTAAATATACATCCAATAATAAATAATTGGGCATTTAATAATAGTAATAATCATATTGAACAATATATTATACCATTATCTGATTGTATATTAACTAATAATACCTATATGAATATGTTAACATTATATAGAAATGCTCAACAATATACTCAAATGATAAAACTAAATCAAATTGATTATAATGTCATTATAGGTCCATATCATCCTAATTTATGTTATCAAATGAATCAATTAATTATGTTACCAATAAATGATTGTTTTAAATCATTGAAAACATTCTTATATCATACAAGTTTTCAATGTCCATTAAGTAGAAGTATTACATATCAATCAAATCCATCATTATATTGTTATAATAATAGTAATAATAATGCAAGTCAATATGAATATGATTATACCAATATTGGTAGTTTATCTATTGGTGCTAATAAATATCAAATATCAATGGCATTAATTAAAATTTTACACTATTTAAATAGATTCAATCTAATAATTCTATATGAAAATGATTATAATGTGAATGATCCATCACAATTATTTGCCATTGATTTAGCTTATCTATTAATGAAAGATAGTAATAAGAATATTAATGTAAAGGCAATTTCTGGATGGAATATTGAAAAGAATATATCAAATATTATACAAATAGGAAATGTAGAATATTCTGGTAATGTATTATTATTATTATTCTTGTTATGATAATTGAATTAATTTTTATAGTGAAGAAAAGTATTGACATGGCATTGACACATGAACTAATGATAGAGAGTGAAGTAGTTGAACGTGTCGACCACTTCACTTATCTCGGAAGTCTCATCATACCTTGTGGTTTGGTGTGTGACAAAATCTCAGAACGGATATAGAAGGCTCGACTAGCTTTTGCCAACTTCCGTCATTTATGCCGTAGGTAAGATATTCGTCTACCAAACAATGAACGAGTTTACTGAGAGACAGTTCGTTCCATCCTAATTTATGGCAGTTAAACATGGCCGGTAAGAGTAGAGGATATTCGTAGGTTACTAGCATTTGATCATAGGTGCCTTCGAAGCATTGTTCGTATATACTGGGACCACCGAGTACTTAACGCAGCTGTCAGGAAACGGGTACTAGATGAGGATGTCAAATCAATTGATGGAGTAGCGAAACGTGATCAGTTGAGATGTCTGGAACACGTGTTACTTATGTTCAACCACTGACTGCCATGGCGTGCAATGACTCATAGTGTAGGAGTAGGTTGTAAGAAAGCTAGGGATGGCCAGATCCAAACATGGCACAAATCCATGAAGTCACTGACAAGTGGACTGAGTCATGTTAGTAGGTGTAGACTACGTGGTTGTGATCTGCTAGATGATAGCAACGGATGGTTAGAGACCTTGAATGACATGGCTGAAAATCGTTTGTAATGGCGTAGATGCATCCACTCTTTGTGTTCTCCCAAATTCCAATCTTCTGAATTCTTCATGTCCCTTTCATTTTTTCTCTTTCCAAATTTATTTCACTGGATTATACTCATTGAATAACATCTTCAAACCCTAATGTTTCTGATTACTTCCGATTACTTATACTTTTACTATCATGCACAAATATAGGAACAAAAATCAAACCAATGGGAGACACAACCAAAACAAAGAAGTAAACAATGACAAATTTAAGGTCAGTGATAACCAATCAACATCGAGGTGCACAAAACAAGCTGTGAAACACATATGGAGAAATTCGAACACTTCACGTCTACCTGAAGTTTGTGCTGATGATGTCGTTCAGAAGAACGATGAGAGCTCCACTTTTACTACCTCTACCACTATTGGATTTGAATGGACAACTGCATCTGTGTGCTAATGTGGTATAACAACTCGAACTGATGTACGTACATACGAAGTTGTACGTTGTTACTGACTGACTGACTGTTATCGGAGAGGACGTTTTATTGAGACTGTAGTAGTTTAATAGTTTGATTCATGAGTTGATTAAAGCTAGATCAATATGGAAAACCTTGAAGTACTGGATGGTCGTTTTGCCCTAGTATGTGACTTCTCAGCAGTGACTGGCTCCAAGAGATATTTCCTGGAGTTCTAGTGAGAAGCCATGACTAGTAGAGTTCAACTAGGTCTACGGTGAAATGGTTCGCGGCTCAATTTCTTGAATCGGTTGAAGTTAGACATTAACACTGCAGCATGTCGGCTCAACGGTTTACAGGTCAGAGGTTCTCACGTGAAACCGAAGATCCTGGGTTCTAATTCCGCGAGCGGGAAAGTGAATAATCACTGCTGACTAGTACTATATTAGGATGGAACGGCGGTTCACTGCTTCCAGGTTTTCCATTGTGGTTTAGCTTTAATCGACTGATGAATCCAACTATTAAACTATAAGTTAATCCGAAGTTAGCTGTTATTGCAGTTCGGTATAAAAGAAAGAACTCGTGGAAAAAGCGAAACAGTAAACGGGCATTTTGTTGTTGCCTCAATTTTCTGCTTATTGTTAACACATCAACCCATTTAGGTTTGCATGTAAGACATTGACTTTTTATAATGAACACGATACCGTAAACTCACAGATATTATGGTCATAAATGGTCATTCAGATCACTTTAAAGCATACTTAAAAGCACATTTGTACTGAATAACTTCCCGAAATACACCGATTTAAATAGCTTTACTATAACTAGTAAAACCTACAGATGTTAAAGACCTTCACATACTCAAAGAAATATAATTTGAGTCAATTAATTGCATCTTTATCTCTTATGCAGTCGGTAAAATTTATAATCAACATATATGCAATTAGTTACATGCTTTAATGCTATAGACTGGATGTGAAATCAACGTTTACTATTATAATCTTTTATATTTCCAATGTTCTTCTATTTTCAAATTGAGAAAAAGTAGGAAAATAAGCTTTGAACTTTATTTCTTTGTTTATTTTGGGCCTTCAAATTAGAGCAGTAAGAACAGAAGGCCAGCCGATTTCCATTAATCATTGGATCTTGAACTAATAGAGACTAAAATTTATATTGGATTTCTCAACAGCTTTCTCTGAAACTGAGTACTCCGGGAACGGGATCCAGTTGTTCATGAACCACCGCAAGAAACTCACTTTTAGACATGAAGGACGAGAACGTTATCTCAGGTGATTAAACCTAGATCAAAATAACATACCGATGATGAAGTAATCTTCTAGTAATCAGAATTTAATTAGAAAATAAATCAGACCTTGAATTAAACGACCAAAAATCACTGTTCTAATATACACAATAAATAGCTTAGTTCAATACCATTTCCATTTATTCTCCAGCGTTAAAGAAACTAGTTTTAGTGTTCAGACAAAGGCTGTCTACTATATACCCTGACTTTCTTCCTCTACTATCTGTATAGATCGGACTAAGAACATTAAAAAATGTAGTAAGAGCAAGAAACAGAAATTCTGAACAAAGAACATGTAAAATTATAACTACTCCACATCATTTTCCTATGTGTACACTAATTAATGATGAAAATACCACGAGGCAGGGTCGTGGCTGCGCACTGCTGAGGAGTCCCATAATAGGACGAAACGGCCATCCAGTGCTTTCAGGTTTTCCATGGTGGTCTAGCTTCAATTAACTCATGATCTCAACTAGTGAAAGTACTATGAATAAAATCGCTCAGAGTACAGAAAAATGTCAGATCACCTGACATATTTAAGTGATTATCACAAAGTAAATGCTTTTAATTAAAGGAATTATAAAATTAAGTCAGTTTCAAGGATCTCCTAACCATCATCGGTTAAAAACTTTATTTCTTTAAAATATTTATTAGACGAATGTTATATAACCAATAACTGTTCATTGTAAAAATCCATTATAATGAGAATACTTTCTTTTAAATTAACATTTTGAATGAATAAAGGTACTCTGAGAATGATGTTGATACATCTCTATTTCTATTATTATTGATATTATTTTACTAAGAATCAATGTATATAATTACATAAAGTATACCCTAAGCTTAGAATAGTTTAATAAAATTAAAAGATCTGTTTTTGATTGAGATCATGAATGGATCAATGTTAGACCGCCATTGAAAACCTGGAAGCATTGATTGGCCATTTGGTCCCAGTATGCGACTCCTCAACAGTGTGTATTCACGATCCTGCATCCAAGACTCGAACCTAAGGCTTTCCGTCTCGCGCATAAACCTACTGCTGAGGAGTCCCTTATTAGGACGAAACAGCTGTCCAGTGTTTCCAGGTTTTCTATGATGGTCTAACATCGATCGATTCATCATCTCGATCAAAACCTTAACAATCTCATACTGATAAAATATTTGTACCTATATGATTCTGATATTTTCAATGATTTAAATCATTATCAGAATGTAAAATAAATTTTCTATCACAATGTCACTTACTAGCGTCATCTTAGTGCTTCTGATTATAAATGGGAAAAAAGGTTGTTAGTTCGAATTTAAATTATTACTTATCACAGTTTGTAGCAATTAATCCCTTTGATAAATTTCGATAGCGCAAAAGAGAATACGAACGATGTGATGATATATTAGCGCAATACAATTCGAACTAAGGTTTACTGAAACCTTAGCCATACAAATATTCAAGCCCCCTTTGTGTATTCAAAAACATTTTGTTTTCACCTTAAACGTATCCTGGTAATATTAGCTTATTATCCCGAGTGATGAGGTCTCGAATTGTTTTCATATTATTTTATTTATTATTCTTGTCTCCTCTTACCCCTCCCCATTTGCAGTCTAGTTGACCTTTGATTTTTATATAAAAATGTTCTTATCAAGTACATTATGCGTATGATCAGATTGTTCGGAATGTATTGCACTAATATATCTCATAGTTCTGATAATCGTCTTCTTATCACACTATCGAAATTTATCAACGTTTGCTTATATCTTAGGTTGGTTTTGAACAAGCTGACTAAAAAAATGATGAAACCATGAACATAGTAGTTAACCAGTATATATATATATATACTTTGATGAAAGATTATTACTATCTCTGAAGAAATGTGTGCACATACCTATAGTATACAAAACTTTCATATTCCTAACAGTGATTTCATATTACATAAGATTTTCTGTTACTTAATACGTTATTATATATATGAGATGGTGGAGAAGACTTGTAGCTCAGGTGGATAATTTTGATTGAGTTTTATTCTCTAGGCTAGATGGTTTGGTCGAGAGATGATTTGCTCAGAGAACAAAACTCTATCATAATATGAAATATGTAATATGATTATCCTAGAAACAAAAACACATGAGGTAACTAAATGTAACTGAAAAGTGAGTCACTCAGTTAGTCAGTCAGTATCAACGTAGAACTTCGCACGTACGTACATCAGTTCGAGTTGCCACACCACATTAGCACAGAGGTGTAGTTGTCGGTTCAAATCTCGTAGTGATAGAGGCCGTAAGAGTATAAGAAGTAATCAGAAACACTAGGATTTGGAGATGTTATTCAATGAGTATAATCCAGTGAAATAAGTTTGGAAAGAGAAAAAAAGAGACAATGATGATTAAGGAGATTAGAATTTGGGAGAACACAAAGAGTGGATGCACCTACGCCATTGCAAACGATTTCCAGCCATGTCATTCAAGGTCTCTAACCATCAGTTGCTGTCATCTCGGGGTCCTTAACCAGGTAGTCTACACCTACCAACATGGCTCAGTCCACTTGTCAGTGAAAAATCAACTTTATATTTATTACGTAATGACAATCTTTTTATGTGTTTGTGTATAAAAGACACTTAAATATTGTTCCATTAATTAATATTCAATTGTATTCTTTTTTTCTCCAATTTTGTTTAAATGAATTAGCTTGTATTGTAATTGCTCAACTTTCATTCTATTCTACATTATTAAAATATATTTATCAATGGAATCCGAATATATTAAAAACAATTATGTTCATTGCTTATGATATGACATTATTCTCATATGATATACTTAAAGTATGGAGAAATACTATACAAAATATTGATCATGAATATTTAACAATGATAAATTCTGCATTTGTTTTAACATCTCATCCATATGGTTCGAAATTACATTTAACTGATGAATATTTAAATCAGGTACGCAAAAAGCAAAAAACAAAACGACGTTGTTTATTATATTAAGTGTAAATTGTTGTTTAATCGTTGAATTTGCGAATCAATTTAAACTAGAACTTTCAAGTTTTGCATGATGATTTAGCACAAATCGACTCATAAATTCAATTATTAACATCATTATTTTGATTAAGATCATGAACCGATTGGTGTTACACAATCATTTAAAACCTGGAAGCACTGGGCGGCCGTTTCATCCTAATTTGGGACTCCTCAGCAGTTCGCATCCATGAGCCCGCTCACGGGATTCGGACCCAGGACCTTCAGTTTGACGCGCGAACGCTTAACCTACTGGATCACTGAGCCGGAATCCAGTGGTATTAATGTCTTACCTCAACCAATCCACGAAGTTGCGAGACCATCTGAGGTAGACAGCTATTTCTACTCGACATAGATTAGCTCAACTGGTCACGGCATCTCAGCAGAACTCCAAGAATTTTCTCACATCAATCGGTTCATGATCTCAATCAAAACTTAACAATTTCCACATCCCTTAAACTGATATTAACATTATTCACAATCTCTATAAAACACTTTTTCTAATAACTTGTATTTATTATTTTTTTGTGAAGCATTTCTATTTTGTAATTTATGACGTAATATTGTTTTTGGTTTATATTTACTACTTAATTACTATCTGACTGATATAATAAATGTTTGTGTTCACAATAATCAGTAATTAAGTACGAACTAATGTTGTAAAAAAAAGAAAACCCCAATAAAATCCAGTTATAACAAAATAAAACATCATTCATTTGTTTAGAAATTCTTATTGTTTATACTAATCTTAAGTTTCATGTTAAAAATAAAATTGCCTAGAAAAGGAATGAAAGTTTTACGAGTAAACCATTGAACTCAGAGAACGTTATTTTATCAAAAAGAAATATATTGAGTTTAAAGCTAAATATTTACTATGAAAAATGCAGTTCTGTTATAATTTGTGCTCTGTGCCCCTATCAATGTATAACGTAATGATACCGCTAATTAGAGAATAGTGAATTATAGACTGAACCAATGACGCATAAAACACGTACGAGCAGTCTAGAGTCTTTATTGGTCTTGATTCTCAACTAACCCTGCCTGTTAATTCTAGAACAATAATCTCAGCCTCTGCGATGTGAATAATTTATTTCAAACATATTGGGTTTATATACCAACCGAACAGACTACATCGTACCATAAAATAGGAAACAACATTTGTACAAGATTTAGCTAAAAGTGAATGTGAATGTGGGAGGTAGTAACTAATAGACAGGGCATAACTCAAGAATGGTAAATCGTATAATAATAATCCATAGATCGAAATAAAGGAACACGATATAAATAGTTTAGTTACTTAACAATTAAACGATAAAAATATACTTATAGTATTGGTCCATAAATAGATCCCAAAAGTTATCATTGATTATCCTCATCGAGATATAACAAGTTCATGGTGGGATACACATAGACAACAGACTAGGAATACCAACGAACTTCGATTAAGGATGAAATCGAACAAATGCCAATAATTGGTAAATCAATCAGGTGATGTTTAGTGTATGACCAACTATTAATTATGATATCAGAAGGGGTTTTTCATGGATATTGGACGGCCGCATTGATGAGGCGTTCTACAATGGGGCGAAACGGCTATCCAGTGCTTCCAAGTTTTCCATGGTGGTCTATCTTCAAGTGAGTCATGAATTCAACTATTAAAATTATAAATTCTGAGTAGAATTTTACAAATTTTAATTCCGTTTTCATTATTCATCCATATTTTAATCATGATGACTTCATTCTTTAAAGTTTTCTTTTTTCTCTTCATGTACCATGAACAGAAAGATTATTTAGCAATGAAATTAACATTGGGCATGACAATATGCAATTTTAAACATCATATACAACAAAAAGAACGGGAACAACAATTATCACAATTACAAGGAAATAATGGTTTCTATGCATCATTAAAGAATACAACATTGAAAATTCCAATAAAATCTGATTTAAGTTTAGCTATAACATTTCATGAACATCCAGAACAAAATCAAGCTGCATTAGATTTTTATTTAATTAATGCATATACATGTAATGTTGATATTTCGAATTTATCAATGAATACTACTAATACTACAACTAACAATATTAATAATGATACTGTATGTTTAGAGATATATTCATCAATGATTTGGCCAGATTACAATGTTAGTAGTATGGTATTAAGAAGTGATTGGCAATTAAATGCTACATTACAACAAACTACAACTATTACAGAATGTATTCCAAGTAAGTTTGGATGTTGAAATGTAACATTTCTCAATCTGCATTCAAGTTAATTAGTTCTATTTGAATAGTGTTTAAGACTTTGGTCAATTTGACTTGTACTTTGCTTGAGAATTCACTAGTTTTCCTAATTATCTAATCTAATATTTAAAATGACCAATTACTTTCGATTATGTATTTATTGAGAACTAATAAGTAGTTGGTATATGAAATTTGAATTTGTTCGTTTCTTTAGAAAAAGATAAAATTCTAGTTTTTTTTTAATTTGTAGAACTTACTAACATCGAAACCGTACTAAAGACATTTGATACACGAAATGACCGTTTCCATGTATATTGAATGAAATCAGACATATAAATTAATGGTTGGTATGTCATTTGTTTAAAGGTTAGGCACTTGCAAAAAGACCTGAAGTTTCTAGGTCCAATCCTAGATGGGTTCGTCAATTCACATTACTGACGCGTTCATTATTAGTTCAAAACATCTGTCTATTAATACCCGGTTATTAAAAGTCATCTAATAAGGTTCATGTCTTGATGTAAACTATAAAATAATGGGACATTAGATCATGTTTTCTACTCGACACAGATATAAACATGTAATTTTCTACAATCTCATTCATAATGATTAAGTTAATGGAAAACTCGCTTTGTAGTACTATCAGTAAAGTTCAATTTGTAGTACTGTAGTGAACGAAAACACAAGTGAAGATAACTAAATGTATTTGAACATAGAATTACAGAATCACTTGGTAAAATCTGAGAACCACGCAGTAAATACATCATTTGAAAAATACTCATCAAATGTCTCAGAATTGAATGTTCTTTCGTTACCATGTCAATCATTTTCTTTCCTCGTTCTCTTTTCTTCGATCTTTTTAACCTTCTACCTCGAGACATTTCACTTTCGATTGATGTTACATACTACTAATAACTCTTGACATCAATAGCACATACTAAGTACGACTCTAGCAAATTTCCCGCATTTTTTGTCATGGTTTGCAATCAGGGTTTTCCAACGCTCCTAGGTGGATCCTCCACATCCACTAACCCAGTTAAGGTGCCGGACATTCGCTTTTCGTTCTAACGTAGTGAACAGAACACGGGTGAGGACAATCGGATGAATTTAACACAAAATTACAGGACTTGTCAATAAAATCTAACAATCATAAAGTAAATGCTTAATTTGCAAAATGTCCACCAATTGTCTCAAAATGACTCAGACTTCATTTTTCTTGCATTTTCATACAAATTGCATCCTGTTTCCGTTCTTTACTGTTCGATCATCTTGTCTCTCTTCTGCCAGACCTTCTGTTCACGACTAACATCATATAATACTTATGTCAATATAAGTAGCACACACCACACTCGTCCCCCCTTTAAAGCAGTCGTTCTTGCGGCGGTTCATGCTCGCCGTACCACATCCTTCGTCTCTGCAGTCTGTGCTATGCCCTCCGAGTATGCGGCGCGCTGACCTCCGTAGCTCCATCAACCTGCCGAGGCAACAACATCCGACATCCAACTGGCACCTGGGACGCTTAACACCCGTGCTCCATCGGCCTTCTGAGCCATCTACATCCGATATCCGTCGACAGCACCTGCTACAGCCAACGCCGCCCCGCCAGAACAATCCACTCGACGCCATCTCTTCGCACCAGACTGCCCCAACTGGCACCTCAGCTTCAGGCCCGTCTTATCTCTCTGCTGTTCACGACTAACATCATATACCACTTATGTCAATATAAGTAGCACACACCACACTAAGGTATCAGCAGTTATATTTTAAAAATATTCAATTTCAAATAAGAATAATCTAGTTCATTTAATATATTTTCTTCATTACTTTTTTTCAATTATTTATTTATTTAGATAATGGAATAGTTATGGCTCTTATATTCATGTCTGTATTAACAGCTACAATAGCATTTTCATTAGTTGCTTTCTTGTTAGCAAGGTTAGTTTTAAAATCATTTAATCCTGTCATAAGAAGACTAATTTGGATTATATTTTCAATATTTAGTTTGTTTTATTATTCATACATAATGATATAATTCACAGTGTGCAAACTGAACTTAGATAAACATTGGCCATGTTTCTACTCTAAACACTACAATCAAGTTCATGAACGTAATAATTTGAAATGATTTTATCTATTTAACATGTCTTGACTATCAAAATACTCTCATCTTGGATTCTACTGTTAAATAGTGTTATACGATAATGAAATCTTATAATTAAACATCTTTAGACTGATCGTTCGAAATTGTTCAGTGTTAAATAGAAAGATCAATATGAAAATCAAGTAATCCTATTTAGGCGCTGAAACATCTTTTTAATGGTTAGGCAAGTGATCAGTTGATGATGATACAAATAACCAAACATTATACAAAACCGTTATTGAATAAATTTAATACACAACAGATCAGTCAGTCAGTCAGCTACAATGTAAGACCAGGCATCTATATGCATCGGTTCAAGTTGCCACACCTCATTAGCACATATATACAGTACTTCAGAATAATTAAGAAAGTTTCAAAATATTTTGGAAATAATACAAGATATTTATTCTCTTGATTTTTAAAACTAAAAAAGGGATTTATGCCTATAAACCCAAAACGTTTCACTGTAAACAGCATGAATTATATCTCAAGTCAGCTAATCCAGTGGTTGAAAGAAGTCATGTCCTCTGAAGATGTCAATGGTTCAGAGTTCGACTTGAGTCATGGTAATGTATATTGGTTGTAGAAAACTTAACAACTGGACCAAATTAGAGCTCATTGATAGCTCATCTTTCATAGTTGACTACATTATTTAATTTCATAATAAAATAATGATAATAAGTGAGTAAATTCAAAGTAAATGTCCGACTGTAGCCATGTTCTTTCACTTGGAAATGATAATTGAATTCTTCAATAGGAAGATTTATCATAGAAAAGCATATCAAATATGTTGAAAGGCCACTGACTGTCTTTACTCCAGTACTACTGGTAATGTGTAAATGGATAAATAACTGACGTTTGGATATCTTGCTGCAAGTAGTGTCACCTTGCCTTTTTTTATTGAATTTACCCATAAATGCTTCCATAAATAAATTCGTCCTTATTTGATTCTTCTGGACCTGGCTTGTCAACTAAAACACCTTAACTGACTTACAGTACGGAAATAGAATGGCTCTCTTTAATTACAATATTAACATGGCTTCAACGCAGGTTCAAGAATGCCTAGAATTCATTTATCCTCATCTAATTAAAACGTTTAATTGTAGAGCTGTCTGATTCGACCAAACGAAATGAAATAGATGAGTATGTAAACTGATTTATTTTTCCGAAAAGTCACCTTAAACCCGTTCGGTTAGTATTTGAACAGATATAAATAATGATTAAACCTGCTTATTAACCATTTTCCTAAACCATGTCTACGTGGTATAGTTGACTAGTCCTTCTAGTTATAGAACAGAGAATATAAAATGTCACTTTATGTTCTGCATAACTTTAAGATTTTCTAATATGCAGATTGTACTGATGCTTTTAGGCACTGGCTACGTAGCGAATCGTCAATGGAGTACAAGGAGAATTAGTTGTAAATTACTAGGCCAAAATTGTAGTTAGCTGACCATTAGTCTTATCAATCATCATCAAAGGAAGTGGTCAGAACAACTGTTACAGATGTCTAGACGTTGCATGTTCTGACTTACATTTCTGGATGGAATAATTCCAAGATTGTTCGGACCAAGAAATTCAGTTGGTCACTGAAGGAATGGAGAGCTTCGTAATTCAGATTGACGCAGTATTTACATCTCTAGCTCTGAAAATTGTCTTATGATTCTTTACCGTCAATTGCATTTATTCTTTCTGAAATCGTGTTTTGACAGCTACTACTACTGTTATTATCAATAATACCGCTATACTTCACATTCAAATTTTTGTAGTAATCGATATTATTACTTAAGTATCCTTCACTTTTATCTTGATAATTTCCTCTTATTACCCTGACTTAAACTATAACAAGCTGTACAGACAAGAACTTTATCGGCTATTAAACTGTTTGTGAAAAACTGATAATTATAGTCGTATATTTTGATCTTAAATGGATAACAGATTATTAACAATTGTATTATCAGTAAAGGGTTGTGGAGATTTTTAAGTTTTCGGTTGAGATCATGAACATACTGATGTTAGACCAATATTGAAAACCTGGAAGCACTGGATGGCCGTTTTTTCCTATTGCGGGACTCCTGACCAGTGCGCATCCACGATTCCGCTCGTGAGGGAATTCTCGGGGTTCTAGCGAGAAGCCGTGACCAGTGAAGCTAATCCGTGTCGGGTAGAGTCAGGTATCTTTGAGGTTAGACAATAACACCGTCTCATGTCGACTCAGCGCTCTATAGGTTAAAGGTTTGCACTCTAAACTGAAGGCCGTATGTTCGAACCCCGTGAACGGGATCGTGGATGCGCACTGCTGAGGAGTCCCACAATAGGATGAAACGGCCGCTCACTACTTCCAGGTTTTCAATATTGGTCTAACATCAATCTATCATGATCTCAATCGAAAAGTTGTGTTATCACTTTTCAATACCTTGTTGGTAAGATGTGAGTAATAAATTTTCAGACTATAGTATTCATTAAAAGTACTATTAATCGTATCATTAATAATATGGATTAACAATTTTATCATGATTATTAACGGAAAACTTTAGTTCTTTTCTCATAAAGCACAAAGGATATATATTTAACAAATAAATTTCAAAAATACAACAATCATTTAAAATCTACAATCAGATCGAATAGTTTTATTTATTTATTTATTATCCTAACTGATTTACTTTTTTTGCATAGTTACACCCTAGAAGCATTTATTGTTTCCCAAGGTGATTCAAAACATGCACAATTACAAACAAACAGACAGACAGACAAACAAAGAAATAGGCCAGAAATTCATATGATCATTGGAAATAGAATTTCCTTTTCATTCCTCCCCCCACGTTTTTAAAAAAATATTTAATATTTAATTATGTTTAGTGCCAATTTCTGCTCTTCACTTATTGTTCTATTTGATAATTGAATTTTATTTTTATCATCTCAAACAACAACAACTACTATTACTGCACATTAAATAAATTCAAAAGTGCTCATGATCTTTTATTCTATATAAGAATTGATTCTTTCAAAAAAAAGATTTTTTATTTCGACAAAGTACATGCTTTTGTTTTCAAGTTTATCAGTAGTTTACCTATCTTTCTCTCTTTATCTCTCTTTCTCTCTTTTACTCGTTCATTCTAATACACACTTGTTGGTTTCAAATTTCCATTCATTAGATACATTTTATTATGTTAATTTTATAATACGGATCAATTGTGAAAGATAAACTGAGAGGATTTACAGATGGAAAGGTCATCGATGACCAAATGTGAAAAGGAAGGCTCAACTAAGCAAAATATTGCATTACAGAATAATTTATCAGCAAATGGAGTTACTAGTTCTAGTGAGAAGCCGTGACCATTGGAGTTCAACTGTGTAGGGTGTGAGACAGTTACCCACGGAAGACAATCGAAGATAGTCACACAATAGCGTTGATTGATTAAAGTTAGACATTAACACCGTTGGATTCCAGATTAATGGTCTAGAGGTTAAGCATTCGCGCGCAAGACCGAAGTTCTTGAGTTCGAATGTCGTGTGCGGAAACATGGATGCGTACCGCCCAATAATATCATATTGGGACTGAACGTCCATCCAGCGCTTCCAGGTTCTCAGTGGCAGTCAAACGTTGATCGGTTCATGATCTCAGTTTAGACTCAACAATCTCCATAACTTCATATCGACGAGATACCAACTGATTACTAAGTAGTAATCAGTACAATGCTTTCTTGTACTTAGTGTTGATCTATAGAATTCGGTACGTACTTAAGACTAAATAACTAAATATCCTAGGTCAATCGGTGTCTAAATGGTTTAGTAGCAGGAACTATGACTGTAACACTGAATGAAATGGGGTTAAATATTACTGAAGCAATAAGTTCAATCCATGTTTCTGACGCGTGTTTCTATCGGCATCAAGTTAGTAAGAAACCAAGGTTTCGGATGTCTTGACTTTTGTCTTCAATAAATACACAATTATGACATTATAACAACCAACAAATCTGTTTCTCACTATACTTGGTTGAGAATGATTTGACTCAGAAATGAAATTGAATTCACCAGTCTATAAATGTTACTTTCCCACTCGAAAAGAATACTTTACATACTTTATTTAGCCTAAGATTATGTGTTGTATTTCATTCAATAATTCTTATTTTATTTTCATATATTCTTCAAAATACCATGGATCAGAGATATCTATAAAGATATTAGCATCAATTGTGACCATTTTCAGGGTTCCATTATCTAACTATCATGAAACGGAATGTTTATTGTTTTCTTTATTCATTAACTAGAAGCCATAAATTTAAGTTACCATTTTGAGTAAATAATCATTTAAACTATAAATCTATATTTATCTGCATTAGAATAAATCTAAACTATAAGTAAATGATACTAATTAATACATGGATGTTTCAATTAAAAGAAACCCTCTAATAATTGTACCTCATAATTTCCAGATGTTATCGACGACGGAAAATGTATCGTGAAGGACCTAATAAACTAATTCTTTATCCAGATGATATTGTATTCATAAAAACTCAAAAAACAGTTAAACATACTACACCAGTAAGTTATATGATTTATATTTTAAAATATCATTGCATGAATGTGTTTTTATGTGAGATGCATTAGTCTTCAATGTTTTACAGTTAACTGTGATTATTTAAGGTATTGGTCATATGTCAAGCTTTATATTGCTTTATATTGATAGACTCAGTTTCAATTTCTTTACGATCGATCGAATATTCGTGCAAGTAGTTCGTAAAAATCTTTCCATGTAATAATTGTCACTTCACGATAAACTTCATTCGTTACGTCATATAACAATCAGTTGACTTTCTCCTATCTGGAACGTTTAGTACTTTAGTTCGCCAATGTATATTTACTAAAATACTGATTGAGTTGTCAATAATAAAGTGATAATGGATGATAAAATCCATTTTATTATGAAATATTTACGTATGTTCCCTGGCAAAACACTGCATACACGCTTATATCTCAGTAACTTGGCAGTAAACCATAACTATATTGAAGTCACGTCATTGCCTGTAATGAATCGTCCTATCATGATAGTCAGTAATGTTGCCTTCAAGAACCATTACGAAATATGTTCATAGTTGTAAAACATTGATATATTCAATATAAAAGCGAACGGTTACTTAGATCTAAAGCATCTTTATGACCAGGCCATAATGTCCCGATTAAGTGTTCCCACGTTGAATTTTCCTGATTTCCAAGTGTTCAACGACTAATGTAAGTCTTTTCAATTATTATGTGTTCAGCTTCGGCTATCCTGTATTTAGAAATTAATGTCCCTACACCCTATACGAATGTTAGATATAAACCGATATCCCACAGATATGGAAAAATCGCGGTCTGATATCGGAATTTCGATAAACTTCATGATTCATCTTGTAATAAAAGTTAACTGTATATTATAACCTAAATTCAAGGATTTAATCAGCATTGCATAAATCAATAATAATCAAGTTTTCATACATCAATCATCGGATAGAGTTATATAAAGAAATTGATGTGAATATTAGGAAATAGCATTTTATGTAGCTGGCAAATTCAAAAGCGAGAATCATACAAGTAAGCGATCTCGATAATGGATTGAGAAGACGAAGTTTATCAGAATTATGTGATATATTTTTGCAATACATTTCGAGCAATTTGATCACACATATCATTATCAAAAAGACAAGGTCTATGCTTCACCAAAAGCCCAAACAGCACAAAAGCGATTGTGTCACATTCCATTGTGTCTATCAATTTACATGTATGTGCGGGAACACGTACATAAGGAGGGGCAATCGTGATTTGAAATTAAAGGTGGGTGAACGCACACCAAAATGGCTGCAGAAACAAATGGATTCCAATGGTCAGATAAGATCATAGGATAGACATCATCCTCCATTGCGAAACATTTGATTGAGACTAGTCATTAGGTTGACATCAAGTTGGCATTTGTTGTGTTGTACAATAGCCTTCAAGGACGTATACTAAGGTTTATTGAAGCCCTGGTTATACGGAAATTGAAACCCCCTTTATGCATCCAAAAGCAATATGTCCTTACACTCAACCTACCCTGATAACACCGATTTAATATCCAGAGTGGTTATCACATTGTTTTTGTGTACTTTTTTCTTTGTCACGGCTTACCGTTAACTTGTCTAGTTGACTTTTTTAATTTTCATATAAAAATGACTTAACAAGTATATGTGTGATCAGATTGTTCAAAATGTATTACGTAAATATATCACATAATTCTGATAAACTTCATCTTCTCATTGTGTTATCGAAATTTATCAAAAGGACTAATTGTTTTAAAGTAGGCAATCAAGTTTTCAGACATACAAACAAACGGATATAAGTTTATATAACTTATTTATCTAATATATGGTAACAATACACTGTCAGAATATTTTGTTGAATATAGACAATACGAAAATAAACAATATGACCCAGTAGTTTAAGCGTTCGCGCGCGAGACCGAAGGCCCTGGGTTCGAATCCCGCGAGCGGGATCGTGGATGCGCACTGCTGAGGAGTCCCACAATAGGACGAAACGGCCGTCCATTGCTTCCAGATTTTCAATGGTGGTCTGACATCAATCGGTTCATGATCTTAATCAAAACCTAACAATCTCCACAACCCCTATACTGATAATCTGAATAATGTTAATTTGAATTAGTTTACATTTACATATGAAGTTAGCGGTTGGAAAACTAGTCATGCTTCCAGTCAAAAGAGAGATTTCTTGATTGACTAATGATTGTATTATATAAAATATATACAAGGTAAAAAAGTATAACATAGCAATTATTGTATGGTTAGTTATTTGTTATTACATTTACTGTTTACTTCATGATAACTATCATACAATCTGCATCGTACAAGTAAACTATCGAAATGTACATAATTCTAACTCGTTTACATGTATATTGATTGTAATTAATTGTTTGTACTTTACTGATTATCTCATTTTTTGTAATAAAAAAATTAACAACCACAGAGTAATGTTGATCTACGTTTTCCAACAATGACTAGTGAAACAAAACTTAATGGATCAACAACCAGTCATATAAATCAAGGTAAAATAGACAATCAAGCAAGATCATTGGTGTCAGTTATGAGTGGTGATGGAATTGAAGATACAAATGTTGCAAGTTATAGTGTAAGTACTTAAATATTCAAATGTTTTTATATAATTTGAAATCTGATAGATTACTATGAATCTTTTATTACACTCATAATCCTAATGGGATTCGATGCTCGTTCAGCCATATTTTTAATTGATTCTATTTATAGATGTTAAAAAATATCGGATTCTTACACAGTCGACTAACCGTAAATTACTTAACGTAAAATGTTAAGGTCACTGAGTCGTGGGCACATACTATTAGTGATGTTTTGCCAAGAGGACACAACTATCCATAGCTTCCTAGTTTCCAGCCAAACCCCAACTGAAGTCAAATGACGAGTAAAATGGCTACTAACAATCCCATCACCAAATAATTTTGAACATACTTACTAAATTGAACAAGACAGTGATTACGTTCATTTCAGTTAGAGTCAACTTTGACAAATTAATATTAGATTCCTTCAAAATAATTAACTTTTAATCCTAGTAGTATAATGAACAGATACAGATCTATCAATATACAGGATTTATGAATACTTTAGGATTTTCTTAGTTGAAATCACGAACTTACCTTAGCTATACCACAAGCGAAAACTTAGGGGCAGTGGATGACGGTTTCATCAAGGAATGGAACTCCTCTACAATCTCTACAGATCACACATATTTACAATAATCATCTACACACTGGTGACTAGATTTGAGGTGCAACTCTTGTAGTTCTAGTGAGTTATCCATCGCAGGCAATGGATGGATGTTGTGGAATATCAGGGATTAATTAAAATTAGGCATTAACACCGTCGTACGTCGGCTCCGTGGTCAAGAGGTTTAGAGTTCGCACTCTAGACTGAAGGTCCTAGGTTCAATTCTCGGGTGCGAGGTAGTGAGTAGTCACTATTAGGGAGTCACAAACTAAAACGAATCGACCATGTAGAGCTCTAAGGCTCTCGATGTTTGTCTACCTAAAAACAGTTCGTGAGTTCAACTACGAAAAATACAAGTCTTTCTATGTTTATGTCTGTTGAATAAACTTGATCTATCAAGGTTTCAACAACATCCGTATAATATAGAAAGCTGGAGCAATAAGATATAGGTCAATGACTTTTAGCTCTCTCTGCTAAGCTTTAGAAATCAATTTTATAACTAGAAACATAACTATTCATATGTTAACTGTTAGAAAACTCATAGCCATAACAGCCTGATTAAACATTTTATACACACAAAAAGTTGCATTTTCCTCATATTTATACAACAATGAGAATTTGTAGTGTCGGCAGCCGTGTTAAGCTCACATAGCTTATTCTAGCTTCTGGACAGGCCAGTTTATTCATTCTTCTTGAGTCACATTTTAACCTTGTCAATTATTCGCTTATGAAGCTTGAGTGTTTTTAAATGAGCGTATTTGTGTGCACTTCTTTACTTTTGTTCAACTGTAAATATCGATTCACGATGGCCAAAATTGAATTGGCTTACACGCCTTCTTCGATGCGCATCATTTTGCTTTGCTTCTCCTTCTGATCAAAGATTATGTGAAATAGACGTATTCGAAATTCATTCTCGTATTTGACTTTTTAATTCCGTTATTCATTAAAGCGACAGATATATATCTTGATAACAATGAGAAATGATCAACTCGGAGTCAGATCACGAGCTACTAAAAATTAATAAGTTAGCCATTGATTCTTTCTTTCTTTTTAATTCAATACAATTGAGATTTTATGACTGCACCTATATGGTTTTACCACTGAAGTCACCATAGTGTTTCATCAATTAACTCGACAATCCAAATAAGATCAATAATAAACCAAACTTTAATATACAAAAATAGTTTTCTTTGTACAAAACTGAAACTTGTTGTGTAATATGCTACACCAATCAACTTCTCAATCAATATTATCGTGATTGTTTTTCTTTGTTTTCCTCCCTTTTTTTTTCTTTTCCTATCAACTATATTACAGAATAGTTTAATTTATATAAAACGTTTAGAATTGAGTAATGCTGCATTAAAGAGTAAATTTTTAGATCATGTACGTTTGTTAAGAGAGATACGTAATGAAAATGTCAATCCATTGATTGGTTGTTATGTTGATATTAGTGCATTATGCCTGGTATTTGATCATTGTACAAGAGGAAGTTTAAAAGTGAGTGAATTATTTTTTTTGACTAGTTTGATTTGCTTCTTCTCCGGAATGATATTGTTTTGATTGCCACATTTATTAAGAAAGAAAAGGAAAAAGGACTTGAAGTCATTGAAAATGGCTAAATTACCACATTAAAATCATTTAAGTGTCTTTTCAGATGATTGATCACTGGGTGGTGATCAATGCCATGTATGTAAGGTCCTTCTTAGTGCAGACCGAATCCTATCGATCAAGTTACAATGTAGCCAACAGTCTAGGTGACTCGACATTGCTTGGACTATTATCAGATAACCGATAATCAGTTTCCTTAAGATTACAGGTACTCCTTGCTGACGAGTGCCAAGTAGCACGAAACCTCGGTCCAGGGTTTCCTGTTGACTACCTCCAACCACCATCTTATCAGATGATTTTACAGTGTACTGAAATGGTGTTCAATCTTAAACTACATCAGTATATGGACGAGATAGTTTTATGGGCCTAATTGCTTTTCAAGATTTTTTATATAAAAGATTTTCAATATCTGCTTCATTCAATGTAGTTTTTCATGATGATGAAATGTTGGTACATGTAAACTATCCCTTTTTTATCTATCGTAATCGGTTCGCGATGGATAAATATTCAGTTTCATGTTGCCTGGGTAACAGGACTACGATAATTTCCATCCTCATATTTTATTCATACAACTCAATGTACATTTTATACTGAAACTTGTAAACAATTTTTTCAAAATTTAAAGGATGTTATATTTGATCTTTTGATTTTCACTGCAGTTTAAGGTAGTGAAATACAAAAATTCTCAATGTCTTCATGATTTAATCCTTGGCTTAAAACTAAAATGGTAGCATTTCTCAGTAAACTCAACGTAAAACAAAACTAATGTCACCAATTCAACCTTAAGTATCAGCCTGCCAGGCTTGGATATCAGTTGACTAACCATGTAAGTAATCTAAATACTCAGGTGACCGATATCATCATTCCCATTAATAGGTGTTAAATAACACTTTCTACAGATCCATTACACGTCATTTACTGATAATGTGTTTGGCGACAACTATGGGAGATACAAATTCAAGCTATCGAAAGTCAGCTTAGTTAAGATCAAATAAAAAAAGGACTATGAAGTAAATGCTTTTTCAAAAATAATCAAATATCCTTGTAAGACACGTTATTCATTTGATTTAAATCAGTTTTACAGCAAATATATTCGATTACTTATGCGATCATAAATAATCCATCCCTTGTAAAAGATTTCTATCATTTAATTAACTTTGCGTAGTAAACTGTATGAAATTAAAATAAGAGTTTTGAGATTGCGACTCAAGATACCAGTGATATTTTTTTGAAGATAATGGGTCTGACTGCTTTGTTTAACATAATACACATGTACAAACCAAGATGAAACAGCATTTATTACCTCTTCAGTATTTATCCGTTTGCAGGAAAACTCCCTTTGAAATCATATAATATGTAGTATATATATATTTCATTCTTAATAATTCATAATGATGGATGATAATAAAAAAAAGCAAAAACTTGATGTTAGAAAACGTTATTAAAAGTTTCATCATCACACAACACACCGTCTGGAAACGATCTAATTTTCAGATAACAGAGTACGAATTGTTGAATATATTACGATGAAGAGAGAAGACAAAATATTACTTCATCAAATTCACAAACCTTTCAAACAAACAATTAAAAATAATACTCTTTTACAACAATGTTAAAACATGTTCGTAGTAGTACTTCATCATTCTTCCATAACCCTGATACTTAATTTTTATAGACAGTAATTTGGTAGTTAACACATCATTATGATTATTTGTATAGGGTTGTGAAGAACATTGAGTTTTGTTTGGGATCATGAATCGATCAACGTTAGAACGCCACTGAAAACCTGGAAGCAATGAACGGCCGTTTCATCCTAGTATGAGTGTTTTTAGTAGTGCTCATCCACGATCTAACTCAGTACTTTCTACCTCTCATGCGAATGCCTAACCTCTAGCCACTGATCCAGGAATCAAAGATCTTAATGCCTAACTTTATGTTGTTTTAATCTTTTAATTTTTCATTATTCGTTATAAATACATTCATGTATTCAGTTTATTTTGCAACTCTTTCATACTAGTCAAGTGGTTAATTGTCTTTTTATACATTTAGCCTTATCTTATTCTCTTCGATTATGTTTTCGATCATAATACAACCCAATTTTGATACCCGATATCACGTAACTCTCTTATTTTCTTTTTAATAAACTACTTTATTTGTTAATAGAGTATATTACGTTTTTGATTGAGATCATGAACCGAGTGATGTTAGATCACTGTTGGAAACCTGGAAGCACTGGATGGCCGTTTCGTCCCATTGTGGGACTCCTCAGCAGTGCGCACCCACGATCCCGCTCGCGAGATTTGAACCCAGGACCTTCGGTCTCGCGCGCAAACGCTTAACCTACTGGACCACTGAGCCGGCATCCAATGGTGTGAATGGCTAACCTCAACCAATCCACGAAGTTGCGCGACCATCTTCCATTGCACTGAGGTAGACACTTGTTTCTACCCGACACTGATTAGCTCCACTGATCACGGCTTCTCACCAGAACTCCGAGAATTTTCTCACATCAATCGGTTCATGATCTCAATCAAAAACTTAAGAATCTCCACAACCGCTATATTAGTAAACTATATTACGACTGTACAATTTAAATAAATGTTATAGTCATTAAGAGAATTTTCTTTGCTGAGTTGTCTTTCATCTTTACTATACTATTTAAGGTGAAACAACTTAAGTAAATGAAGTAAATTCATCCTAGAATAAATAAATTACAATTTAGAAACAAACAACAACAAAAATAAGGGAGAATGAAACATTTGTCTCTTACCCAAATATTCTATCAATATTCAGTCATATTTCTATGAAGTTATCTATCACTATATGTCATACCCTTTGAATTTGTCTCAAGACCTTTTTTGTTTTATACATGCAATAAAAAATATTTTAAAAGACAGAAACACACCTGAAACTGTATTCTTTCTTCTTTTTTTTAAAATTTGAAATGCTAAACTTTACAGTTAAGGTTACAACTAATTGTTTATTCAGTTTGATAAACACGCGAATTATATATATATATATATATATATATATATATATATATATATATATATATATATATATATATATATATATATATATATATAATATTCGATAATAATATACATTTATGCAAACAATTTAGCATAGGCAGATACTATATACATTCTATTGGAATAATTCACCACGCCTTGTATCTATAACAACGTTTACAGTGATAATGAGACTTGTTTACTATAGTTATTGTTCGCATCAATATATATTTTCCAGTTATATTTTGTTTGATTCTCTTTTATTTTTAATATACTGGATAACGTAATTATTCGAATATAGAATTGGCAACATTTGTAGTAGTAGTAGTTGCTGTTGTTGTTGCTGATGTTCTTGTTGTTATTGTTTTTTTATTCAGAAGATATTGAACGTCTCTTCTCCTGTTTTAAATGAGCAATTTCATCAATGAAATAAAAAACTATTTTTTTTCCTTTTTAAAAATTTCTATGTGATTACCATTCAATCATGTAATAATAAAATAATAGTAGTTGGGCATTACTTCCCCTTCAATTACATTCAAAACACAGGCGTGTTGTGTTTTTTTAATTGCTGAAAGTTTAGTTTCTTTCGTGATTTAGAGAAATATCTACATAAATATTTACAGGAGAAAATCTTTCGTTTGAATAGGTTTCAACCAAAAAGTGACATATAAGAAAGTAGTTTTACATACAATGATGACTTATATTGTTTCCTTTAAATAAGTGAAATTACCCCCTCCCCCCCCCCCAAAAAAAAAGAAAGAACATTGTTTCTTTTACTTTATCTGTGTTCTTCCCCTTTCAATGTCTTAGGCAGCATTGATTTGAATAAATTGAAATATTTAGTTTAAATGTATTAAAAAGAATTTCTTATTAGTCAAATCTTTTTTTACCTCTTTCGTATATTTGGTTTAGACAAAGTTTTGTATATAAGCTGAGATGATAGTGGCTAACAGTGGAATCTAGGACTCGCGTTCGAATTCTGGAGTGAACATCAACTCTGGGATGCAGATACATCTATTTGATGAGTCCAAAATAGAACGAAACGCAAGTTCTGGATTACACTTCTAGCCGCTATCATCTTACCTTATAATGCTTATGACTGAAGTCAATGTCGAGCCATCCGCACAGGATAAACATATACCAATAAGAGACTGATCAATTGCAGTCCTAAACATCAATGGAAACATTTAAGCAACCAATACAAAAATGAATTAAAGTATTGTATATTTCGGGAAATTTATCTTACGTTGCTCTGAATAATTAACAGTGTAATTGTTTTGAAAATTTCCATTATATGAAAACATAGATACAAATACACATATTTAAGTGTAAAACCATTTTCAATCAAATTAATCCCTATTTTTATGCAACATTTTACAGTCCGAATTGAAATAGCCACGTCCGAAACCAACTGATCACTTAGAATACAAGTGATACATTTTAGATTGTAAGTAAAAACCAGGACTCAGAATTATCATGTATAAGTTGCTGGCGTTCATGACCGGATTATGATTGGTTTTTCGTCAGTCGTAAGTATTAATTATAAAATAATCCAACATTTTACTAATAATTATTTAAACAACAAAGCAATGCTAAATGAATTCACTACTTCAGTGGATAACTCATCGGTATTGAAAACAAATAACACTGGGTTTTAGTTAAATTGTGAAAATTAACATATTGGGGTGTTGAAACATACAGTTGACAACATGGTGTGCGATACTGATGTCGACAGACATAAGCAGTATGTATCATCAATCGAAAGTAAAATTTCTGAAGGCAGAAGGTTAAAAAGATCAAAGAAAAGAGAACGGGAACAGGGAGTGAAGCAAAGAAGCAATGAAGTCTAAGACGATTGATGGACATTTTGCAAATGGAGTTTTTGGTGTGTTTCTCAGATTTTAAAAAAAGGTTTAAACCTGTAAATTTAAACTCTCATGACAAGTTATGAAAAAGAATGTTTTTTTGGTTCTAAAATATGTATTTGTAGTGTCGATTGTTATGTCAAGCCTTTCTATTAACTTATTTTACAAACAGTGTTATTCGAACGGTAACAATTTGTCTATTTCTTTGTATTATTATGACCACTATCATATCTGTGTAAACGTGTATGCTTGAATCTTATTAATTATCTTCGCTGAACATCGCCTCTTTTCGCCTTGATTGAATTTGACTATAAATATTGGGTAGCGCTTATTTAAATTAAGTCGGTTAACATACCTTCTTCAATTTATCTCGATTCGCTCCGTCTCTAATTATCAATGCTGATCAACGATTGAACAAAATATAAGTATTAAATACTTCATTCTCGTATTTGACTTGCTTAATTCCGTTATTCACGAACCCAAGTTAAGTCTATAATTACATGTGACGAATGGCGGCATGTATATAAATCGATAACCATACTCTAACGATCAAATTAAATTCAGATACGCAGAGCTATTAAATATTTATACATGAATATTTTAAAGTATAACGTATAAAATCAAAATTACTTGATAATGTTGTGGTAATAGCAAACTTTCCTCTATGTTAAAATAAGTTGATAATAGTTGTATCGAATAAAAAAGCTCTGATCAGAAGATGAACGAATAAACCCAGTTAACAGATATAATATAATAAGTGATAACAATACACTGTCATAGATCAATAAAATTCGTTATCTTTGACATATAACCCAGTTACTCATATGTGTGTACATTAAATTTAAATGTAAACAAAATTGGGACATATTTTACGGCATAAACCAACATGACAGGATGATCATCATACCTCATTTACTAGTCAATAGAATTAAACTTTAACCATTAGGATTGATCATCGCTTACCTGATTATTTGCGCCACAAAAGCGTATGATACAATTGGTTTCTATATGCAGATTTGCATGTCAATGACAATTACAGTACTCAGTTATAAGGTTTTCTACTAAATACATAGTATTATTTTCCTGATGGCCTATTTAAACCAATAAGGCACAAATTTTCCAACTGTACAAGTATCATAATAAATTTTTCAAAATTTTTCTATGTATATTCATTGCACAGTTAACTGATATATTTTAAGTAAACTATAAAACCCATCTTGATGCTCAGTATTTCAAAAGTTAACCAAAGTTACAAATGTGTTGCTTTTCTTTGTTTGTCTTCCAATGGAACACGATATAGTTACATTGGGATTTAGGTAAAACATGACATAATCGATCTACAATAGGAAATCTAGTGTAGACATAATGCAAATAAAATCAACATGTATGAGGAAAAATGAACTTATCACAACAATTTCTTATTGTAATCGGACATAAAGTATTGAATAAGGATAGTATCATTATTCAGTATAAAAAGTGAATGATCACATAATAAATCGTGAATAAATAGCTTTCAATGAATAAAATCATGATATATAAGTTATGAACGGCAATTTTCATCCTCTTGTAAACTCTAGGTATATGAATGTTATCGAAATGCTAGTAAGTTATATATTTCATGGGAAGACACTAAGAGACTACTAATTATGTTTTTCTGATTGTGATCATGAATTGATTGATGTTAGACCACCATTGAAAACCTGGAAGCACTGGATGGCCGTTCCGTCCTATTGTGGGACTCCTCAGCAGTGGGCACCCACGATCCCGCTCTCGGGGTTCCAACCCAGGGCCTTCGATCTCGCGGGCGAGCGCTTAACCTACTGGACCACTGAGTCGGCATCCAATGGTGATTACTAATTAATCATTATTATTCATTGGTAATAAACAGTGTGATATATATTAATGAGATTGTTTGCTAGTTTTTAATGAATATTATTCACATCAATCAAAGCCGCAGTAATAATGTAGTGAACAAGAACACAAATAGGGGATAAAGGAATATATTTGGATACAAAATTACAAATATCTTAGTAAAATCTGAGAACCATACAGTAAGTACTTAATTCGCCAAATGTCAATCAATCGTCTCAGACTTGACTGTTCCTTCATTTTCATATCAATCACTCTCTGTTCTTGTTCCCTTCTCTTTGATCTTAGCATACTGCCTTCAGAGATTTAACTTTTGATTGATGATACATACTACTTATATCTGTCGACATCAGTAGCACATACCATAATAACTAAATTTTCTTTTACAAATCCACCTAAAGTATGTATATAAACATAATATATATAATGTTTGTGTGTATATAGTTTACAGGACGTCTAACCTTAAGTCCTGTAGATATTTACTTGCAAAATGCTAAGAAAAATTTCAGAAAACTACCTAATCTATTGTGTTACCAATTTTGGCTTTATACTATCAAATATAATACTGTACCAATATTGAATTCTGTTTATTTTCTTTCTTTCAAGGATATAATCAAGAAAGAGTCCATAAATTTAGATTGGGAATTTAAACTTTCCTTAATAACGGATGTCGTCAAAGTGAGTAATATTTTAGACATTTTGTTTGTGCATAAATATTAGTTACTTTGTAAGACTTGTTGTCAACCCAAATAATTGTCATACCAAAAAATGAACGAAAAATAGTGGTTAATCCAAGTGATTGCATCAAATTAAAAAGTCATTGATCCCTAGTTTGAATAGTGTGATCAAGCGAAACGTTTTTGCGATTGACGTTTACTACATAATATTTAGTTTATTTGACTCAAGTTGATCACAGTGAAGCAAACACATCTAACTATTAGAATGACTATAGTTTTATGAATATATTTCTTAATATTTGGCCCCACACTTATCTTGTTGATAACATTGTTGAATTCACGAGCCGATCTGAGCTAGACCACCATTTCAAACATGGGAGCACTGGATGATCGTCGCGTCCTGTATTGGACTCCTCCAACAAAATCATTAACTTAAGCTGTACATTCATATTTACAGTTGTATGGTCAATATGTTATAGAAGGGAATTAAAGCCAAGGAACGATGAAAATTTGGACGAATTATTTTAGCACGCAGAGTTCGGGCTTGAAATCTGCTCATGTTGCACAGATTTTAACAGAAACTGATTCAATGCCTTGGTGAATGGTAACGACAAAAAAGAATGCTCAGAAATCTTGAAGGCATACATACATACTTTCTAATGCATGATTAAGATAAATTATTTAAATCAAACAACTTAGGAGCTTAATTCACGTACCAAAGTATGGGGCATTAGTTATGGCACATCAACTGAAGTTTAAGAATTATAATCATGAAGTCAATAGAATGAATATTATAGTTTGGGATTAAAAGTAGAAATCTTTGTTTAATTGATGAGAATAGTAAAAATTGAATGTTTTAATATATTCTGCATATAAACTAACGATGACAGTTTTCCAGTTCCTACATTAAAGATTCATGAATACTTAACAATAATATAAGGAACGTATTTTAAAAATGGAACTTTCAATCTTATTGTCAAACACTATGTTAATTTAATAGTTGAATTCATGACTCAATCGAAGCTAAACCAGTACTTGAAGCCACTAACTTCCAGTCTTAGCCATGTTGGTAGATGTAGACTACTTGGTTGAGGTCCGCGTGACTATTGTAACTAGTGGTTGGAGACGCTGAGTGACATGGCTCAGAATCGATCACAATAGCGCGGGTGTATACACTCTCTGTCTTCCCTTAAACTATGAGATTAAAATCGCTTCATATCTTTCTTTCTACGAACTAAATCTTTCTTCTTGTACTATATCCTTATATGAAATCTTTCTTTTATATATGAATCCGGTGTTCATCTTGCTGTGCTAATGAGGTATGGCAACTTGGACCGATGCATATATGTGCCTGGTCTTACGTTGCTGACTGACTGTCTGAGACCACCATGAAAAACCTGGAAGCACTGGACGGCCCTTTCGTCCTATCATAGGAATCCCCAGCAGGGCGCATCCACGATTCCTCCTTGCGAGATTCGAACCTAGGTCCTATCGGTCTCGCGCGCGAATCTCTAAACCACTGTGCCAGCATCCAATGCTGTTAATGTCTAACACCAACCATTACACGATATTGCACAACTGTCTGCCATTGTCTTCAGTGAGCTACTATCTCAAGGCAGACCTAGTTAAACTCCACTAGTCACTGCTTCTCACTAGAACTCCACGAAATACCTCATAAAGTCAGTCACTGGTGAGCACATAATGATTAATATCAGAAGAGGGTTTTGTGGAGACTTAAGCAATTTAATAGTTCAATTTATGAGTCAATTGATGCTAGAACACCATGGAAAACCTGGAAGCACTGGAAGCGCTATATTAATTACTATGATCAATTAAAAAAATATTCTTTCAACAGTTATTTAAAGTAACTTTTTATTATTTTCTATAATCGGAATACAATTGCTTTATTGATGCATTAGAGTAGTCTTGCAATGATTTATATTCTCACTATACATATACATCTAAATAGTATTTACAATATATTACAATTACAATTTAAACAACATCAATTGTATAGCAAATGGTCTGTTTCATAAATAAATTTATTTATTTATATATTCAAAAGGGTATGAGATATATTCATTCGTCTCCAATTAAAAAACATGGTTGGCTTAAATCTACAAATTGTTGTGTAGATGGTCGATGGGTTGTAAAAATAACCGATTATGGATTAACAGAAATCTTCGGTATTTATGGTACTAAAAGAAAGATGAAAGATGAAGGTATGACAGTAAAGATTACTTAATATTTTGTTATTTATGTTTTTTTTATCAAATGATTATTTAACTGATGTTACAATAAGAATTTGTTTAAATAAGAACTTACGTCTAAATTTGATCGAATAGTTTCAGAGTATTTGGGCGCCGAGTTGATGTGAGACATTAAAGAGGAGGAATGTATGGATTTACTTCAAATTCATTCGCTGAGATTTTACAAATACATTCTTCCTCTTTAAGAATTTGTTTTATTTATATACATCGATACTTGTTATAATCTGTTAAATCATATTATCAAACTAATTAGGTGAGACTATAATTTATGTACGGCCTTTGAGCGACGCTAGACTGACCTTTAGAGTGTTCACCTAATATCAAGGATCAACTGAATGTTACAGTTGATGATTAAGGTTATATATTATATTTAAGGTTTTCATCACGAACTGACATCAACTATAATGTCAAAACTCTATTTAGCCAAATGGATGAGTGAATTTCGTGCCAAAATCCGAGGCCTGTTACCTTATATCTGATTGGTTCGTTCATAAATTATAGTCTAGCCAATAATTATTAATTTAAATATATTAAGAAGAAACAAATGATTTGTTGAAATTATTGAAGCCACTAAAGGTGATCGGATTGATCAAAGCTGACTCGACGTCAAAGATCAGAATCATTGGTCAAATGTATATTATTAAATGTATATCTTTTATAGACATAATAATGGTTAGTTAACCAATTTTATTCTTGTCGAATGAGTTTTCCATTAAATTATCACAGACTGTTCTGTTTATTAGATTTTACATTCAAATTTTTAATCATTAATTCATTACAGAAATGTAACTCCTGAAAAGATTTAGAATTATAATCATTTATTCAGGGAAAAATCCCTTAGTAACGAGTTCATTTTAAAAGCTGCACGATCATATCATGTACGTATGTGTTAAGGAGTTTTAGTGACCACAGTGTATTTGACTCTAGTTTGATCATATGATGATCGTATGAATGATTGTTATCGAAATATAAATATGTCGCCAATCCTCGTACATAATTATCGACTTAAATCATGTTAGTAAATAATGGAATTAAATATGTCGAACGAGAGAATGAGGTTTGAATACCTTTATTTCGTACACTTATTGACCTGGATAGACAATCAGAAGAAAGAAACGAAGAGGAGAGAACGAAGCGAAATGGCGCACGGTGGATACGCTATGTAAGCCAACTCGTCTTAATCAAGAGTGACTCGATGTTTATAGTCAGAAAAAAAGTAAGTTACAGACATGTGATGAGTAAGATAAGGTGTACACACACATATGCTCATATAAAAACAGTCAGGATTGATAAGTGATTAATTAACAAGATCAAAACGTGACTTAAGAAGAATGAATAGATCGGCCTGTCCAGAAGCTAGAATAAACTATGTGGACTTAGAATATCAACGGACACTACACGAAAATTTGTAAACTGCGTTGTAAAGGATGTATGTTGCTGACACACCAATTATATATGATGAGAAGATATCCTATACACTCTTAATAACTCTCATCTATTACGTTAATTCGCAGTGTGACAAAAATCTTATCGAAAACTTTCAATTTTATATCCTATTTACTAAAGGAAATAACGGATCGACACAAAGATCTATTATACAGAAAACATTTATGAGATGGACGTTTTACAGTTGAATCCCAATAACTAAAAAATATGAAATCTGATTCATTCCTTATGCTCGTGATATTATAAGCAGCCTTCATAAACTAAAGCCACTTTTCAAGAGTAATCACTGTTTGGAAAATTATAGTTTAAGGGAGATATTTACAAAGGGATTGATTAGAAAAATACCTAACTCAGAGAACCTCTATATAAACTAATACAGTAACTTTCTTTTATTATCTGATACGAAGATAATTTCCTAAGAGTGGCCCATACAATGTGCTTATAACAGTTCACCTGCTCTCATGAAGCTAGGAACATAGGTCGTTAGTAGAGACTACTGCTTCGTTGCATTCGGAAGGATCACTCAGTGTAAGTCATCGATTCTGCAACATATAATCAACATTCAGTCTCCGATTAATCCTTTCATACTATTTATAAAATCAGCTAAAGATCTCAAGAGGTGTATGTGTTAACCTCCTTTCTAGGCTTCTTGAGCTTTAACCATCTACAATTCAAATAACGTGCGTTGTGTGTATATCCAATCATCGTCAAACACAATGAATCGGCCCTAGATAAGAAAATCGAGAATTTTCTTAGTTTAAATCACAAACTTATTTTGATTAGACAACCACTGAAATCTAGGAGTACTGGATGGGTTTTTAGTCTCAGTATGGGACTCTCCTGTGGTACGTCTCCGCGACCCAACGTCCAAGAATCGAATTCCGCGCATTCGGTCTCGTATACGAGCTCTCAACTTCAAGACAACTAAGCCGAAATCCAACGGTATTAATGCCGAAATATAACCAATTCACGACATTATGAAACCCTCATCTATATTTTTCAGAAATCGTTCTTAAAATTGAATTTAAATCTATATGCTTCCTTTTCTTCTATTAAAACATTAAATACAGAATGGTTATGGACAGCACCAGAACATTTAAGAGAAGAAACAAATATTTATAGTGGCAGCCAGAAAGGTGATGTTTATTCATTTTCTATTGTGATGCAAGAAATTATTACACGGGATGAACCTTATGGAATGCTTGGATTAAGTGCATCAGAAATATTGAGTAAAGTTCGTAAACCCCCACCACTGTGTCGACCAAAAGTAAGTACTGAAATATTACACTATTAGTTGTTGCCGCGATCCTACCAAATAATTGAATTAGTCAGTTATATATATTAATTATGGGATTTTGATTTTACACTGTTGAAAACTTGTTTTCATGATATGAGTTAGTGATAATCTAATGATGGATTGAAATTCTGAGATGGTGAAGAAGATTTATAGCTTAGGTGGATGATTTTGATAGAGCTTTGTTCTATGAGTTGGATCGTTTGGTCGTGGAGCTCTCATCGTCCTTCTGAACGACGTCATCAGCATAAACTTCAGATAGAAGTGAAATGTTCGAATTTCTTCATATATGGCTCACAGTTTGCCCTGTAGATCTTGATGTTGATATGGTTCTTATTGACATTAAACCCGTCATTGCTTAAAGTCATCTTGATTTATTCTGGTCATATAAACAAATTTTCACATGTTATTTTGATTTTATCCTATGTTTCGAGTCATATCAGTTCAAAGGCGATCTCCCAGAATTAATGGTTTGCATTATAGCTAGTCTAGGTTGTACATTCAATCGGACTAACAATTGGGTTTGCATTTTACTCATCAAAATGCATGGTCTGAATAACACTTTTTCTCAATTATATCATTAGTTAGTGTTATGATTAATCATTCTTGATTTTGATTACTGTTAAAAGAAAAAAACTAAATAGGTAACAATTTCGTACACTAATACGTAACTGTATATTCGAATTGGGGAATACATAGAAGCAACAATATACAATCTCTATATTTTACCAAGGAATGATGTTGAAAACTATCTTATCAACGAATAACATACAAATTCTTCTAAGTGATGTTTTATTCAATATAAGACTATGAACATGAACTATTGAAGTCTTTCCAAATGAAAATAAAATAGCTTTCTGTTATTCATCTGTACTCAAACATTTCTCATAAAAAAATTGTTCATCAGACAAATTTTAGAAATGATATGGCTATGTATCTCAAGATTAGTAGAAAATAAGCAGTTGGGTTACTTAAATACCTATAACTCTGTAACCATTTTATTACAATCAAGGTGCCTTGCTTGAATATGTGGGCTACCTAATTCCTGCTATCTGGATACTTCAATAAGTTATCTGTTTCCTTGTGTGTTTTAACACATCATTATGCTTATTAACCGCATAACCTATTCAGGTACGTTTGTGAAACGTTTACGACATTTCGCTGTACAAATTACAAAAGAGCGTAATCAGAGAGATTGTGGTTGCCAGTAATATGCATTGAAAAGAATAAAAATTATTCAGATGACTATTCCTGAACTGCTAACATCTAACTGGCGACCACTCAATATTTATCACCAGGATCGATCAAGAAATAAGAAAAGGAAACTTTTTGAAATATTTTGTGCTGAGAATTCTATATTGTATCAAAAATATAATATTGAATAAAGCCACTAATAGTAATAATATTCCAATTCTAAGTGGCTATTGATAGCTAAAGCATTATACAATGATCGCGATCAATTGTGGATACTGGAATAAAAATTTAATCATTTAATTATGACTACTATTATTATTACTTCTACTACCTCTATAACCCCAGTTTTTTTTTCAAAATTTTCTCTCATGTTTAACATATTTATGTATTATTTTGGCAATTAAGGTTTCACAGTCTGAAGCTCCCCCAGCTTATTTAGAATTTATGAAACGTGCATGGGCAGAAAGTCCTGTAATGAGACCAACATTTGAAGAAATCTATCAACAACTTAGACAACTTAATCAAGGAAAGTAAGTTTATTGAATGATTCGGATATTAATCATCATTACATTTAAATGAATGGAACATATATGGAATAAAAGTTGGTTCATTGCTTTTTTAGTGAGTCTAGTAACAAAGTTATCTACTCGTTATATATTTTTTTCAAAATCTGTTCATTGTCAGCCTTCCGTTTTCTGAACATCACAATGATAGTTCTTCCATCATTTAAATTTCACGACATAAGTGTATATTTGGATCCATGAAGTCGAAATGCACTCAAAAATACACACAAACAATAAACTCAGTATGTTTTCATCAATTAAAACACCACTGTAATGAACATTACTATATCAAGTGTCATAAATCTTGTTTTAAATCTGCTTATCATCTATATTTTCTATTACATTTCCATAGTTTTATTCTTCAATATAACAAATTCGTTTCATATTATAATTATAACATGATTTTCACAAAGATAAACGTACAGGTTAACCTTTTTTGATGGAGTTTTGTACTCTGAGCTGGATAGTTTAGTCGTGGAGCTTTCATCGTTATTCTGAATGACATCATCAGCACAAGCTTCAGCTTAACCATATGATGGAGTACTATGTTATCTGATTGCTTAAAATGATTAGAATCAATTTATTTTTCTACCTCTAAATGCTAAACATTAGCTCTCAGTTTGTAAATACTTAACTTCATTTTAAAATGTTTGCCTGAAAAACCTGATACCACTTTTAAAACTAAACTTCTTGTTTCTTTTGCTAATTACATTTAAAAGTCGTTTCAAAAGTAACTGTTAGTTTTAACTATCAATAAATTTCAACTTATCTAAAGTTCTAGTATTAACAGTTATGATTAGTACTGTAATGGGTGGTGTCCGAAATCTGATACTGATACACTACGTGCTACGCACTAACCCCCCAAATAACTATTTGAGCAAAAACACAAAAGTTGAAGAGAAAGTATATCGAGCTACAAAATAAAATGCAGAAATACTCATTGATATATGTATACAACTATATCCCATAGAAAATCAATCGATTTATTAGTCAATGATACGTATTTGTCCTTCAAGTCACTCCTGATTAATATCGAATGACCTTCTCATTTGTCTACTTCTGATTAGTTCATGATATCAATTAGTATTTGACCATTCAATGTTTCAATGAATTTTATATGTTTAAAATCGATAGCAAAACGACTTAGTATTGACGACATCATGAGTCACATGTCAAGAAAGGAAGATTTACTCCAGTTTTCTTTCGAGTTTCTATGACATGTTGATTACCTTGGGTGAATAACTCTCCAAGTGTAGGATATTCAAACTATAGACTAAACTTTATTTAGAAATCTCTTAATAAATATTTATATTATTATTTGAGATCAATATAAAAATGGTCTTAACGATTCGTTTCTTTTAGAAAACTCAACATCGTAGATCATATGTTCAAGATGATGGAAAAGTATTCAGCTGACTTAGAAGATCAAGTACGTGTTCGTACAGAAGAATTGGAAACTGAAAAGAAAAAGACTGAGTTACTAATAGCAAGGATGCTTCCTCCGTAAGTCTTAAATAAATACAATAATTAAATTTAGCTATTAGTTTAATAAAGTTGCGTTCTTTTTAAAAAGAATCATCAGAACAAAATACAGTGAAACATTTCCAGTGAGCATTTTCTGAGAAGTTCAGAAAGGAATATGTCAATAAATGTTATTGATCTTTGATTAAAGTTGCTACCCCTTCATCAATCGCCTTACTATCATTTTACAATTCATATGTATTCGACATCATGAACAAGTGAGACGGTGGTACACTGTCCTGATCATCTAAGAATTTATTGTAGCATTAGACAGCGTTGGTATTTTAGGTTAAGAACTGTATTTGAAATTCAGATGTGTTAACTGATCAGTTCTCTTTTTATTGACTTTGTGTCTCCTCAAACAGGACTGATCCCATTGCATATGTAATGGACGAAAACTAAGGTGGGGAAGACCAATATATTGTTTAATGCAAAATTGCAGAATCCTTTCGTAAAATATGTAAACCATCTACGTTCACTTGTCATTTACATGCTTCGTGATTCTTCTAGTTCCGTTGTTATTTTAATTGCTCTTTATTTTCCTTCCTGTTCTGTTCAATTCAATCTTCTGTTGGTAGACATTGCACTTGAGATTGATGTTACATACAAATTATATTTGTCAGCATAATTAGCTTATACTACACATATATTAGACAAAAATTAAATTATTACAACACTGCAAGCATTTCAAATTACTGACGTTGTTTGCGGCCATGTCTATATTGCATCATCAAAATTTCGAAAAATCAAGGTCATGAATATTAATTCTACTATATCTTGGGCATCAGAACTAATCATCCCAACCTAATGAACTAAACAATAGTCATATGCTCAATGCTGACTGAATTTTAGTTAGGTTATTGCTAACTGATAAAGTTTAACTATGTCTGCTATAATATAATTATCACCGACCGAAATAAAAAAATCATAATGTGAAGTTAAAAATGTAGATTATTAGATTTTAACTTAGCTACCTAGAAAAAATAGAATTAGTAGTTGAATTCATGAGTCAATTGAAGCTAAACCACTATGGAAAACCTGGAAGCACTAGACGGCAGTTTCGTCCCAGTGTGGGACTCCTCAGCAGTGCACATCCGCGGCCCTGCCTCGCGAGATTCGAACCCAGAACCTATCGGTCTAGTGCGCGAACATCCAATCTCTAAATCACTTAGCCGGCATGCAACAGTGTTAATGTCTAACTTCAACCAATCTATGAAATTGTGGTCTAGAGGTTAAGCGTTCTCACGCGAGACCAATATGTCCTAGGTCCGGACCTCGCGAGGCGGGATCGCGGAAGTGCACTTCTGAGTAGTCCCACACTAGGACGAAACTGGCATCCAGTGCTTCCAGCTTTTCTATGGTGAACTAGTTTCAATTGACTCATAAAGTCAACTACTAAATTACTATTATATTCACAAAACCTCTCTCTGATTAAAAACATTAATTGACAAATAACATTTTACTCTGAGAAGTGTTATCGCGTTCGGATAATACATATAAGATTATATACAAATTAGGCCAAATATGGCTTCCAGTGAAATTAGGACACTCATTTCGTCTTATTTTGGACTCGTCAGCCAGATTTACTTGCACTCTATACCATTTCAAATTAAAAGATAAAAGTATGGTTTAAAATTTTACGTAAGTTACATTAAACGTTACTTCGAACATTGGTTCATTAAGATTGGTTGATTGTTGAATATTTAAGTTTCCTTATATGTTATTCTATGTGTTTTCTTCAATTCCTTTTATGAATCTAATATGCTTATATTGTTGTAAACTATCTACTCTTTGTTAAAACTTTATTATTTATTCTTATATAAAACAGTGTCGTAGCGGAAACTTTAATGTCTGGTAAACCCGTTTGTCCTGAAGCATTTGATGAAGTGACAATCTATTTCAGTGATATTGTTGGTTTTACAACAATATCTGCATTGTCTACACCATTTCAAGTTGTTGATTTGTTAAACGACCTTTATACAATGTTTGATTCAACAATTGACTTTTATGATGTATATAAAGTAAGTGTTTTTGAACGATTTATGAATGTGATTTGTAAATATTGTATATCATTACTATGTTAATAGGTGTTGTTTAATTTAAATATTTGCCTGCTTAGAATTTATAAGTATCGCTGTGAACTACAAAACCTCTAGATCACTGATATCAAAATACCCTGGTTTGTATTTTAAACTTTTGTCAATTTGTGACATGGCACAAATTTCAGGGAATAGCAATTGTAATATTAAAGTCCTTACAATCTATACTCACCAACTCTGTCTTAGAAGACGAATAAAAAAGTAAGCAACCAACATTCAAGAACAAGTAATATTTAAAATGTGGATGGTGTAATCAACTCAAATGATTTGTCCG